AGGACATTCTTCCAGTTGTCTCAATAATCACTTTTTTCACAGAAGTACATGAAACCATCGGAACTGATACCATGTGGATTCCCAAAATCTCGAAGGATTTGCTAGAAAGCTCACAATCTCAGAAACGAGATCAGTTCTGTCTATTAATTTGATTTTCAACGTTGTACACCACTATCCCACATGACACGCCTGGGAAATCTTCATTCCTGTTTTCATAGGTCATTTGCGAATAAATGAGATGAACATGGATATACTTACGTACCAATCTTCGCGGTCCAGACAATTTGTCAAATATGTAAGCAAAGGTCATTTGAAGCTACTGAGAAAACCATATGTGAAATGCTGGATTTCCTCGATGATAACATTTACCTAAAACTTGAAGTTAAAACATTTACAAAAAGTAGGCATCCTCACAGGCACCAGTTGTAGGCTCTTCCTTCCGGATCTGTCTCGTGTGCTCGTATTGGCAAAACAAAAGAAGGTAATTTGTCCAAGGTGTTAGACTTAAGCTTCAATATGTCGATGATCTGCTATCGTTCAGTAACCATCAAGTAGCTAATTCCTTTCCTCTGAACTTGAACTTTACCCACCTGAACTTGAAATAAGGGGGACTAGTGAGACAGCCTCAAGTGTTTTATATTTAGATCTATGCGTAATCATTCAGAGTGACGAAAAGCTGTACGACAAAATGGATACTTGTAAAACAAACACTGTTTCTGAGTTGAAAGAATAATTTAATCTAGAAATCTATACACAAATGGTGTCAGTATGAAACGAACAAACAACAAAGAAATAACACATGTTCGTGTTTCATGAGAAAACATAAACGATATAGAAATGCCAAGAAATATTATTTTTACTTATTTTGGAGTTTGTACAAACGATGCTACATTAACTGACTATTAGTGTATAATCTTTGATGGACCTATTTAACATTGATAGAACAATTGAAAATGAAAAGGAACAACTCATGAATCTTTTCTCTTCTTAAGGAGTTTGTGAGGACATATTGTGCATTTCTTTTCTATCACGTCCTTGTGAATAGTTGTGAAATGACTCGACGGTATACTAGAACACACGTCTTGTTGTACCCTGCAGATCTTTCTCACTTTGCCATACAGTTAGACTTCTATTACTGCTTTTAGATGCTCAAAGTATATTCATATCTCGAGTATCCAAGACAAAACCTGATTGTGAAAATGATAAAGGATACAAAGATAGCTGAATCAAGTATTCCAAGTGTATTCCAAATTGAAAATAGTACTGGACAGGTTGAAAGAAAAAGATAAGGACCAAAGATCATGGTTATAACCAATGCAAATCAGAACGTGTCCTGTGTATATGCATTGTTCATAACGTTATTGTGATGAATTAAAACTAATATGCAACAAATACAGATCCTGATTTTTGCTTTGTTGAGACCAAAAGAAACCATATGACATTCAAACACAGCTATACTTTTGTCAGTAATCAGTCTTGCAATTGTGTGAGGAGGACCCATTAGACTGGCTGGATTCGTGACCCAACAGAAGATGGTTATCCTCATGATGCTACCAGTTGCTGATTCTGTTACGAGCTTTTCTTCCTCTACATTTGTCCAAGAGAAAGATGATGATAAATACTAGGAGTTCCGCGATCTCTGCGACTGTCAGAATGCTGGCTCCGAGACACAATCCCATCTGACCTCCGACATTGGCTGCAACAGCAACATCATTGCATGAACATCTACGTCGTGACAGAGTTAATGGGTTAATAGTTAGCGCCACATCGGCAATATTGCAGCCATATCGTAACGAAAACAATTTAATTTATATCAATATTAAAATCAATAAATATAGAATGTAAAAACCTGTCATCAACGGACAGTAAAAATTCTAGATTATCACTGCTCTTAATTTAAAACTAGAACGCAATCATAAAAATGAACGCTTCAGCAGCTCGCGATGGTAGTCAAATGTAGCAAATTTAAAGTCACAAAAATACTACATTTAAAATCTCTAGTAAATTTAAATTCCCTTTGAATGTTTCGGAACTGACCTACCCTCTCAGGAGGACAATAATTTTACAATAATTTTACTTTATCCTTGAGGATACAGCCACTAACAATCTAAGTTGCTAATCTAAACTACAAATCATTAAAATACATCTATCTACAACACATATCAATCAAATTTGATCAATTAAATCAATTTCTCAAATGGAAATTAACAGAAGTAAATAGATCCTTAACAATTTTAACATGGCTGGGTAACCAGCAGAATACGATGTCGCATTGCCCAGTAGCAGGGTCATTATATAGTTCAACAATTTCTATTAAAAGTGGATGTTTGCAAGAAAGATTTTTAATAGCCTGAAAGCAAGAAAAAGAGTCGGAAAAGATTATGCATTGTTTATGTTTAGGGTGTCTTTGAATACATTTAAGAGCCGTTCCTATGGCGTTTGTTTCTGCTGTAAAAATAGAGCTGTTATCCAGTATTCTAGAATATATTGTTTTAGATCCAATGACAGTGGCACAAGCCACTGCGCCACCATCCTTGAACCCATCTGTAAAGAAAGACTTGTATGTATTATATACTCTCCCAAAAAAGAAACGCATCATGAAAATAACAATTTCATGTAGCAATGAATTAAAACGTGATTCATTTTACAAAAGGTTTTGCTCTGTTTATGAGTCCTATGGTGTTTATGTTTTGAAACATCACAACAAAACGCACCATCCGTAAAATACCCGTATTTAACAGCATGATTTTCAATTTCGGCGTGTAGTGTCACAGAATATACAATTTACATGCAATGCACGTGAAAGTTGGGGATCAGATAGTCTCAATGATGGGTATAAAAGGTTGATCGCTGTCTGTCGATTATTCACTGTATTTGGAATATTGTTGACGAACGCAAAATGCCACGTCTAAGTGAAACCAGGCGTCATATCGCCATTGGTTTGCTTGAAGTTGGCAAATCTCAACGTGCAGTTGCCCGACGCATGAATGTTCACCAAAGCACCATTTCACGGCTCTGGGAGTGATATCGCCGGCAGAATTCGGTAGCAGATGCCCCTCGTAGTGGGCGACCTCGAGCGACCACTGCGGCGCAGGATCGCTACATCCAGGCACATCACCTGCGTAATCGAACAGCTACGGCGACCAGTACCGCTTGACAAATACCCGGATTGAGGAGGCTTTCTGCACAGACCATCAGGAACAGGTTGAGAGAGACTGGTTTACGTGCCAGAAAAACCTTATTTTGTCCCTGTGCTTCGACAACAACATCGTCGACATCGACTTTAATGGAACACCAACGTTCAGGCCTGGAACCTACCGAATTGGCGCAGAATCTGGTTCAGTGATGAATCACGATTTCTATTGGAACGACGCGATGGAAGAATGCTGGTGTACAGACGTCGACGTGAACGTTTCGCCGACGCAGGCGTTCCCCAGGTGGACAGATTCGGCCGGGACAGTGTTATGATGTGGGGAGCGATCACCTGCCGTAGGAGAAGTGATTTGGTGATGATCCAGGGCAACATGACAGCTCAACGGTACTGTGACAAAATCCTACGCCCACACCTCCTTCCAATCATTGATCGCCAGAGGGAGTTGTTTCAACAGGACAATGCCAGGCCCCACACAGCACGTTACACTAGAGACTTCCTCCAGAACCACAACATCAATGTGCTCCCCTGGCCCTCAAGATCACCGGACTTAAACCAAATCGAACATCTGTGGGATGCCCTGGACAGACGGGTGCGACGCCGTAACCCTCAGCCCAAGACACTTCAGCAACTAGCACAGGCACTACAGTAAGAGTGGGCTGCGATTGGGCAACACGAGATTCTGAGACTTATTCGTTCGATGCCGAGGCGATGCCGTGCAGTTCTGAATGCCCACTGTGGTCACACGAGGTAAGGACTTCAGCGCCACCACACGTCTCCAAGTGCAACTCAAACTGACTTTCCTCGAGTTGGTGCCAAAGACAGATAAGTCTGCATTCCCAGTGTGCAATTTCGCTATCTGTATTTCATTGACTCATAAAGCCTACAAGATGTTTCAAAATGAACTTAAAAATACAGTTGAAATTCCTATATGCGTTTTTTGGGGGGGAGAGTATATTTACTTTTTAATTGATTATATTCTTATTTATATTGTAATTCATAAATTCTGATTTCTTAAACTTTGTCAGTGTCAGGTCAACTTGTGGCCTCACTAATTGCCAAGGAGCAGAAGAAAGAATACGGGAAGAAGATATATTTTCCATCGAAATGCCGGCAACAGAAATGAATGGTTAAAAATCTGAGCCCAAGAGGTGGAACAAGAGTAGATTTCTTGTTGTATAAATCCTCATAGAGGGGACTGAAGGCACAGTTATATGCAGGTTAGATTTGTAACATATTGTAAAGATAGCTTTATACGGCGTTGTGTAAGAGATGGCTCATCTGCATCGACGTAGAGATTGTCAACAGAAGAAGTTCTAAAGAATCCAAGACAAAGTCTTAAACCTTGGTGGTGGACAGAATCAAGAATTAAACGTTGCTTTTGCAGGCTCCTCCATATACGATGGAGCTATTATCAAGTTTTGAACGAACCAGTGATCGATATAGATTTAGGAGGGTCCACTTTGAATTAGACACGACCTTCAACAGGTCAAGTGCCTTCAGGCATTTATTTTTTAGGAATTTAATATGTGGTAAGAAAGTCAGATGAGAGTCAAAAAAAGTCCCAAGAACTTGGCCTCTTTTACAACCTTGATGGGTGTGTCATGTACGTCGTGACAGAGATGAACTCTGACGTATCATAAAACGTATTGACAGCTAAACGGTTGTCATATGCTGCAGAATGTACGACTCTGCTGTTTGTGCCGATTATCCTCTCATGGCTAAGGGACGTAACTCTGTACACCAAATTCAAACGCTCCAGGTCAAATTGTGCCCCGTTCAAGGTTTAATGATATACGGGAGCTTTAGCAATTGGATAATACTAGGTTGTAAAAGAAATACTTACAAAACAGAGAAGCCACGGTGTATTGAGGTTGTTGTGTGATGGATGTCACCATCATCTGGTCGTAAAATACTCTCAGCTCCAGATAGTTGTCTCTGAATAACACACATCGGCAAATAGTTATACATCTGTGGCATATTTACTAGGACTAACGCCGCTGATATTTTGAAAACCTATGAACATGGAGGTGAAAGACAAAAGATCGACATCTAGGTCAACCTTGGATTCAAACCATTCACCAGCTACGTTGGCAGTAAGGGGGGACAACTCTCTACAGTCTCATCAAATGCATTTTATGTGCCCGATATGGCGTCAGCGTAACAACTGTAACATTTGATTCTTTACTAAGCTTTAATGACAAAGTATTTATTCGGGTGTTCCGAGAGCAAACCTTTAAGAAGGAATTTCCCATTTTTGCCAACAAAACTAAACCGTGAACCATTATGTTTGAAGCATGTAACATCAACATTGAAACTTTTATGAAGCGTTGAACCGTGCAATTTTGACGAATTTGGGCGAAATTCATTAGTATTGAAACATAAGGCTTCAAACGGAGATAGTGTGAGTATTTCAACGGCGAAACCCGTTTCACATCGATGAAAGATCTATGAGAGGAGCGGAGTCGACAGAACTATTCCAAATACATCATGAGCATGTGTTAATGAATTACTATTAAATAGTGATAACACCAGGTGTTCGCCCCTGTCCCGTTCCATCTGCGGAACCCGTCATACCATTACTGACGGAAATACTGGAGTCTGGAGAACACGGAATTCGTACTTCAAACTCGTCCTGTCCTTCGCCCTCGTGTTTTGAGAAGAGTGGATTCCCATTTGTCTGAAGGGAAGGAGCTGGAGGATACCTGGGCCGTGTACCTGTCGAACACGCACTCGCTAACACAGCGACATTCCTTCGCGAAGGTACCATTCTTGGACAACGATCCTGGTAAAAGAAAAAAATGCTTTTATCAATGTTGACATGATATACACTTCATGGACATTTCCAAATACACTAAACCAACTCGGCTAGCCCTTACTTGTGGTCACAGGGACTTGTAACGCCAAAATCTGGCACAAAGGTATATACTGTCACTAACGTGTTCTTAACACTATACGGGGCGGTGGGGTAGCCTAATGGTTAAAGGGTTGGCTCGTCACGCCGAAGACCGGGGTTCGAATCCCCACATGGGTACAATGTGTGAAGCCCATTTCTGGTGTCCCCCGCCGTGATGTTGCTGGAATATTGCTAAAAGCAGCGTAAAACCAAAACTCAGTCAGTCAGTCTTAACACTATACAAAAGAAAACAGGTGTAGCCTGATCAACACTCGGGGTTCAGCGATTCCATTTTCTTAGATTCGCGTATTCGAGGGGTCAGCGATTTACTGCACATATGGCATTTGTTTTGTTTTTTCTTCTTTCTATCCAGATCAAAATACGCCCATACATTTGATTTTTTTTATCTTTCTCCGTGTCTATCCATTATCGACAACACAGTTACCTAATCATTTTAAGAAGTAACGTCTCAAACGATGCATAATATGAAACGTTAACGGCCGCTCATGTTTGGCACATGGCAGACAGACAGTCTTACAACGTAACCCATCAGAGTTATCTCCCCTTATAGAGTCCTAGAAAATGGACCAGTCCAGCGAAACCCGACTCGTGCCTCGAGTACCCGTAGAGCCCTAGTCAACACACCAAGTTCGTTTCAGGGTCACTGAATATATCCCATTATAACTGTGCACAGATTTCAGTCAAAATAAGACATAGAGCACAAAAATCGATGCAATACTTTGGGAGCTTGGGTCTTGGGAATCGTGATTCTCGATTCCGAGCCAAAATCCTTGGTCAGCATTTGTATAGCTAACTTACCGATTTCTTGTTAATTTAACCGTATATGCAAACGCCATGCACCAAAACATGCTGAATTGATAGCATATGTCAGCGCGCTAATCGCCATTCTCTCGGGGACTGTTACACCTAACTCTCATGGTGAGTTGACGTACATTTATTCATCGCAAACAGGCATGTGTCATGCATGTTCGCCATTGACGACCTTGGCCTTGACCTACCACGCACACCCCTTTCCTCATATATAGTGTTAAGACCCCGTTAGTGACAGTCGATACCTTAATGCCATATTTTGGTTTTACTTGTATCTGTACTTGTGGGGTCAGTAACAGGTATGTCTAATTTTGAACCACTGTGTTACCCAACCCGGAGACCTCGGACTTGACTCGGATATTTCCAAATATGACAAGGATTGGGGTTTCTCCAACAGGTACTGGGGGTTGATTAACATGATCTAAGAATCATCAAGGTGTGTCTGTGTAATATACACACCTGATGCTACTGATTAGTTTATCAATGTATTCACGCTAAACTTATTTCGTTTCTTTCCAATTTGTCATTTCGTGTATTTGTACACCGGAAGTGGGTATAAACGAGGCGGGGAGAGTGTTCAAGACGATCCCTGATCTGAAAATTCTGGGACGTATGTATCACTTGCAATCAACGATATGGTGATGATACTAATGACTGACAGCGAGTCATACTGCTTGTGTAGTCTAGTAAGTGTCATACCTTTAATAATTTAACCGAACTGTTGCAAATCCCAGTACCAAATTACACGATCAGGAGTTCCTGTCGCAGGAGTTGTATGTATTTGTGTGTGTGCGCCTTTGCCTTACCCCTCTGCAATATTGAAACAGAAGAGGACTATGAACGCTGATATGCTCTCCTATTAAAGGTTGGTTGGCTGGATGGCTAGTTTGCTGTTTTACGCCGCACTCAGCAATATTGCAACTATATGGCGGCGGTATGTATATAATCGAGTCTTGGTCAGACAATACAGTGATCAACAGCAGGAGAATCATATGAATGCGATGACATGTGTCAACTGAGTCAGTGAGCCTGCCCACCCGATCCCGTTAGTCGCCTCTTACGAGACGCATGGGTTACTGAAGACCCGGATGTTCACAGGTATCCCATTAAGGGTAAATAGCCGATATACTCACTAACAGCTGGATTGTAACAACTCTCCAGTTGCACTAGAGAGCACTGAAGATCATCCACTGTAATGGAAATCAATAAAACACTGCTGGTGATTTGTCACAAGTGAATCTGTTTCGACATGTGAGATAACAGTTTTGTCGTGAGAGCCTGACATGAGTAATAAAAGCGTCAGTTGGCAGGTATGACCGTGTCATATTACAACATGTGATATCACCCTGGACAAGTCACATAATTCATTTGTGCCTCTGCCTACCCTTGGCCATCCTCGATAATTCCCAGGGTATGCGTTCCTATAAATCTCCACTAGTACCCTGGATGCATCTCCGACTTGGCTCGGTAATTTTATTACCTCCCTTTGCTGGATCTGCCTTCTCACAGTAGCCAATCAGATAAGTCGTTAGAACCGGGTTTGCCAGTGTTAAGGAAGATAGCGGCCGCAGCCGCGAAGGTTTGATCGCTGTCCAGATTTAGGGAAAACATTATACAGACAAATTGACAGGTCTGAAACCTCTTAACATTACGGAAGCGAAAGTGAGTTATGATAGAAGCCTTGTGATTGGTACGCTCAACATACCAGCGAAGACACCTGATTGGATAAAAAGCCAGCAAAGGGAGGTAATACAATTATCGAGCCGAGACGTAGATGCATCTAGGGTACTAGTGGAGATTTATCAGAACGTACACCCTGGAGATTATCGGGGATGACCCTTTGTTAACGTCTCTATATAGTCTTAATTGTAGTTCTTCAAAGAAATTCTGGTACCGTACCTGTAGGACTGCAGTATTACATTGAATATGAACTGCACCTCCTTGCACAAGTGGTGTAAATGTCTCAAAATATGTCAAACACTTACATGGAACATAAGGTCCGATACATCCACATTGCTTAAATGCCTTGAGATGAACACATTCCATGAAGCAATGGTCGTATGTGTAGCGGCGAGAGTAGATCTTCAGGGGATTCACAAAACTGGGACTGTTTGTGTCCAGACAATTAGTGACATCAAATGCCTTGTAAGGGAGGGGCTGGTAACGATACTAGAAACAAAAGTCATAGGTTATTAGTGTTTGTCTTTAAATATCTGACTTGTGGAAATGTCAAGAGTCCATGATTGTATGATGATGGGCGTTGCATCGAATAATAACACAATAATAATTAAAAATTATGACACTGATTTTGATAATTGATTTGTCAGATTTATACACACTAAAAACGATGGGTATAAAGTAAACATGATTGTAGGACCAGTTAAGATTTGTTTTATTGTACCATTCGTGTTTGCTCATTCATAAAACTTTGTATGCATGTGCTTGGGCTCATTTTTGGTGCAAAAATATTCCCAGTGAACTGCTATATATAACAAGAAATAACTATGTAGACATGTAAATGAATACGTGTGTAAAAGAGAACACTGTTAAATATTGATAAAAAGAGGATAAAATGTTGAAAATAATCAATGTTTGATATTTCTTCTCTGGTGAGGTGAGGTGAAATTGGGTTTAACGTCGTGCTTGAGAATATTTCGCTTATATGACGACTTGCAGGCGTGTGTATGTGTATGTGCGTCTGCTTGTACTAGCCCAGACTTAAGCTTGTCGTAAGAGGCGATTAACGGGATCGGGTGGTCAGGCTCGTTGATTTAGTCGACACATGTCATCCCAATTGCGTGGATTGATGCTCATGCTGGTAATCACTGGGTTGTATGGCAGCCTCGGATATTTACAGACCGCAGCCATATAGTTTGAATATTGCTGAGTGCGGCGTAAAACAACACCAAACATACCCACCTGAAATGTTTGTATGGCAACATATGTTGAGAACCCGGGCGCAGCTGTCACCACAGTAGAGCTAGCGTCTGGGTGGACGTCCGGATGATGGAGAAATACCTGCGAACATACCCAGAACAATTATTTCTATCCATTTTACATTGTGAGATCTATTAATGAAATGTCTCGGGCATACATACTCCAACTCCTGCTATATGAACCCAGATTCACACCAACTACTCCAGAGTTTATGGAAGGGGAGATTTACTTTTAGTCAATCTTCCTTCACGGATAACGGCCTGAAGGTTAATATTCTACACACATCAGAATTCGTAGTCTAACAAGTAGTTTTCGTAATCTTCATTGGAGATTGCACCATCTGACACTTGTGATATATTGATTTTGCATAAGATGTTGTGTCTGTTAAATGTACATCCACCCAGTAATTGACCAGTTTATGGATGAGACTTCCTGTCCAACCGGAAGCGTCCTCCCTAAATAAAGGTCGAGGTCTTTACAGAGATCAATCACAACAATTCATGAGGCCATGTGGCTGAATCGTACAAACGTAATCTTTTCGGTAAGTTTCGCAAATGAGTAGATAATACCAGATTCTGTATGGCTACATAATATCGTTCAGTTCTGTTTGACAGCCGCTTCTTTCAACACTTCATCACTGAGTGAGTGAGTTTAGTTCTACGCCGCACTCAGCAATATTCCAGCCATATGGCGGCGGTCTGTAAATAGTCCATTATGGACCAAACAATCCAGTGATCAACAGCATGAGCATCGATCTGCGCCTTTTGGAACCGATGACATGTGCCAACCAAGTCAGCGAGCCTGACCACCCGATCCCGTTAGTCGCCTCTTACGATAAGCATGGGTTACTGAAGATCAATATGCTAACCCGGACCTTTACGGGGCCATTTCATCACTGAATGAGTGAGTGAGTTAAGATTTAAAGCAACATCGGCAATATTTCAACCATATCGTGACCATCACTGAATGATCTTAGGAAGCTTCCGATATTAATAACTTTTCAGTTTGAAATATGTTCAAACAGCGTTATTCTGTTAATGAGTTACTTAGTGAAGTGACTCTTTACCTTAATCCCAGCTGCCTTGTTTCTGGTGAAGGTGTAGTCATTCTGGTTGATGTTGAAAGTGACCATGAGGTTTGTGTTGTCACCTGCCGTCCTCACAATTTTACTGGCATTGAAGTTGAAGGTGTGGCACAACCCCTCATAAGTGAAAATAGGTCGGAAGTCGGTCATACAATCAAAGTCGTCACCACCAAAGACACATTTAAACAACATTTTGGATCCTTCCATAGACATGTTCTGCAACCATTCTAAAGACAACGGTTTCTGAAACACATCTGAAGTTAGATGAGAAAATGAGTCTTCCCTCGTCCTTTCTTGAGAAATATTGAAAAAGTAGTTCTCCATTTCTGGATAAACGTCAAGACGAGTGTTGTTGAAGGTGCATCTGTTGCAGATGGTGACGGCAGGGAAATTGATTGAATGTTTCATTTGGGGTGTGATCTTTGTGACGGTTGGGTAGCTGTAGTAGGTTCCTATCTCGCCCACAAGGTTATAGACGAGAAACCCCGTAGTTGAACACAAGGCCAAAATCCATGCCAATCTGGTGAAGCAAGGAGACTAAAAATGGAAGTTTCATAAACACAAGAATATTCGGTACTATACAAATGGCCTTAACTGTGTTGAAACAAGGCTACAATATCAATTTTGTGGGAAAATTTAGCAATTTGTAATCTTGAAGTTTGAAATGGGCCACATCCAACCGATTTGTGGGGAAGGGTGACACTACGTATCTTAACTCCAATCTGCCAATCGCTATTTCTTTGGATGTCTTAGACTAGCATTTAAAACACAAGGCTAAATGACACATCGTCAACAAATACAACTAGGTTTGGGTTCGTAAATACGTCTCCTCACTTATGCTTGTATTAACTTTCTAAATACACCCAAATCCTCCCCTCGTCATTATAAACTACCCCTCCCAAAAACCGAAACCCCAAAAAAAAAACAAAACAAAACAAAATAAAAACACAAACCAACACAACAGCAACAGCAAAAAAAACACAAAAAGACATCCCCAAACCCACACGCACACTCCCCACCCACCAATTTTTTTTTTAAAATCTCCCCAAAACCAAACACATTGTATAGAAAGCCAGACTCTTGGGTACTTGGGTACAATTAAGGAGAGAAAGGATGCAGTTTTCAAAACATGATGATATTGTATGGTCATGAGTGCAATCGACGGTGGAGCAAGGCAAGGGCAGCATTTGCCTCCTTCACTGCTCATGCTTTTTGGTAGACTTTCACATGATTGAGAGGAAACACAACCGATGCTGATATGCAATGTTATTATGAAATTGCTTGCTATGTATAAAGCTGATACTAATTATAACAATGATACTGTTTAATGTGCAGATAACTAAAATTCTTCAGATGTTAATATTATTATCCTATGAAATGGATCAGTAGAGACAAACTTCCCCTAAAAAGACTACAAAACAAAAACAACAAATAAATAAAGAACGAAAAAAAGACAAGGAAAAAACTCCCAAGCAACTAAAAAAGCAAACCAAAAAAACAACCACCAAACAAAAGAAACACAAACAATAAACACACAGGTATTGTACAGCAAGAATGTTACATGACTGAGAGGAAACACAATCGATGTTAATATACACTGTTATTATGACAAGTGCTTGCTATGCATACAGCTGATACTAATTATAACGATGATGTCAGTATACCCATTACATTTATTTCTCTTCAGAAATAGTAATTGATAAAATATTAGTCTCATATGAGAACAGAAAGCATTTGAAAGTAATCTCATATGTACATATTAGTATAACATTGTGCATATGAACATAACTGTAAGAATAATTTGTCTTGATTATTTACCACGATATATAGTTCGGCATGTACGTGTTAAACACAACCACACCTACCCACGAATCGTTAATGGCCTGAGTGAAGGAGGTTTAATCTTATCAACAGCATGAAGGCCTGTAGAGTGGCTGAATTCAGTCCACAGATCTTTCAGTCCATACTTTGTCGAAGGCCGGTCTGCATCAGGCCTGGCGGTCTGTTCCCTCTTCTCATCCATTATGTCTGAAAGCGAAAGTGTACGTCAAGGTGAGATCACATACAGCGAGCAAAAATGAACAAAATGATCACGGTTGATATGGTCATAAAAATGATTCATTTGTCACTCTCAAACAGGCAGAGCTTTGACCATCACTATAGTCCGTTTGGCTAAAAAAGGGGACCGATGAACAGCAACCTAACTCGAAAACTGATAAACATATAGTACTCAATGAAACGCTGATCATAATAAAAACATCAGACCAACTCTGTGAGCTCTTTGCAGAATTTATGTCCTGCAAATAAAAAAAGTTGTTTAACAAACTATCATTAAAATATTTACACAGTTCATTATTTGTTACGTGGGAGGAGTGCAACGAGCGGAACTGCTAGGTGTACGTTGAGCACGTGCACAAGTGCCGACAAAGCTATTGATTCATTTACCTAAGCTGTGCCGTATCCATCCTTTCTCGCACACCTGGCTGTCCCTTTCTCTGCACTTCTCCCTCGTACCAAATAGTGAACTGTGTGAATATTTTAATGATAGTTTGTTAAACAACTTTTTTATTTGCAGGAAATAAATTCTGCAAAGAGCTCACAGAGTTGGTCTGATGTTTTTATTTTGATTTGCGTTTTATTGAGTATTGTTTTACTTTTTTGATGAAACAAATGACAACTTTGTCGGAAACACGGCGATAAATAGATCATTAAACGTTTGAATCATTACATCGGTAACTTGTGAGAGAGTGATGTCATCGATTGTATCATCTTTGCACCTTGTTTAGCACCTTTAATTTCGTCAACTATTTGAGACAGTGTAATGTCGTCTATAGTATTATCCCACTCGCGAGTAGACAGGAATGATTTTAAATTCAAATATCCCGGGCAGATTTCGAAATTTGAATGCAGAATGTGGGCGTGGTATGAAGCAGTTACTTATAAGATTCAGTCTTCTCACTAATTTAGCATTTTGTGATACTGACTATGGCTCATCTGGACTAAGTGTTATCAAACCACTAACACTAGTCAGCCAAATCTCACTCTGGCTATGTTAGAGACCCCTTTTGACAGAATCTGGCTAAGTGACAGGACACCCTTACTTCATCCAATCACTCGAGCTTGGTCCAAATACACCACTGGTCGATGTTGACAATTAATCGACCAATCACCGGTGACCAGGCCATGGTGTGTTTGGACCATGTTTGATGATTGTAACATTAGATTGAGAGTGATGTGGATGTTCCACACAATGCTGAGTAAACACACATATGCTGAGTAAACATTCGTTTCGTCAACATTTAGCTTTGAATCTCCATGGAAACCAGGAATGCCACAACCATATCTGTCATTTCCAAAAGATTGTTTGACATAATAAAGCTTTGTTCTTTGTCAGTTTATGTTGTTGTGATTTTGAAAAAACATGTTGTCAGAAATGACAATCGTTGTACACATTGAAACACGCAATGAGGTAATACACTTTTTGGATGTTTTCTTTTACCATTTTCACTATCTTCAAATTGTCCATCATACGAATGCAACAAGATGTTAAGAGGAAAGGATATTGACAAAACCTAATACTAAACATTTATTAAACGGCAACGTCATAATCTAATGATCCTCCAATACATCTGACATACACCACAATTATGTTAAGAAACAGTATGAAAAGTTACCTTATTGTCATAGCAACTAATTCAGGACAGCCATCGTCCAAATATTTCAAAAGACCAAAAACTGTGTAGCCAGGACATGTAAGACATAATCACAATTATTCATATGACGCTAATCTCCATTTTTAATCCTCATCACCACCGCATTGTACATTGACTTGCCAGCCAACCTGTACCGCTCTGTCACTTTCATTAGTTACTGCGTATGGCATTTATGCAATTCACTTTATTCAGAATTGAAGGCCATATGGCCAAGATTACAACAGGTAATACAACATTGTCATGGTGTGTAGAATTGAAATATAATTCATAATACAATTATTTTAACGTAGGTTTTACTTCAGGAATATACATATTCCTTTAAGAACAGTGAAACTGTGTATCTTAAAAAAGGGCTCGGAATTTGACAATTGAAGGTGGGCTGTAGAAATAGGCTGGAATACATTGGGATCTGCATCGGTTATAAAATGGACATATTAGCCACAAGTGATATTCGTCTTCAAGCACGTTTAAAGTACATTTGTTACAAACTAATTCTTTATATGGGACAATTATCTTACAAAAACTTTGTTTTTGTATATTCAAGTTATGTGATTGGCATCAGAATTTGATCAACATTCGCATAAGATCTTTGTTTAATGCGCCACAGGAAATATACAGTTCAGGTTCAAGAAGTGACTTAAATGTACTATAATTTACAAGAAATGATGAGTTTCTTATTTTACTATTCCAGTGTTGTATATTAATATCTATACAGCGTTGTTTGAACTCAAACATGTAGTGATTTACATCGCCACAATCTTGGGCTAACCAGACATAGGAGAAACCCCTTTTCAATACACGTTCTATAAGTATAGCCCCAAATTTCACATCCATAGGTTAAAATTGGTAGTATCTTACTGACAAATATATTATGAGCGATAGTTAAAGACATACTTTGATACTTGGTGGACAGTTGAAACAGAGGGAAACATGCATGTTTGGCTTGTAAAGATAGCGTTTCACATATTTTGGATCAAACTAAACGAGATGAAAATACAATTCCTAAATATTTATAAGGGATGGCCTCTACAGGTAGACCTTTAAAAAACATTTTTTTCATTTCTCTTAACGCGTCCTCCGTTTCGAAAAACAACCACCTTAGATTTATCCAGATTTACTTCAAAGCCCCACGTGTTACAAAAATCGTCAAGAATGCCTAATTTTCTTTGTAAATCAACAATGCTATCTCCTAGTAGTGCAACGTCATCCGCGAACAGTGATATCTTAATAGCTTCTATGTATTCATTTACGTAAATTCCACGAGTATTGCCATGATGGAGATCGTCTGCAAGTTTATTGATGAATAGGATGAAAAGTAGCGGACTGAGCATGCAGCCCTGGCGAACACCATTATTGGTTGAAAAGAAATCTGTTCTAGATTTACCAGAACGAACGGAGGGGCATACATTTGAGTACATATTCTCAATGATTTTTACGTCTTGCCGTGTACACCCTTTTCAAGAAAAAGATAATAACATTTTTTTCCTATCAATAAGATCGGAGGCCTAGCGGAAATCGATCAAAGCTACATAAAAACAATGCTTTGCTTTACGTAGGTACTTATGAACTAAAGAATGGAGTGAGAACATATTATCTATGGTAGAATAATCATTTCTAAAGCATCCTTGCCCTTCATTAAGTAAAGCATTAAACTCGGCCCAGCTACTCAGTCTTTTGTCAAGAACATAAGTGACAATTTTACCAATGACACTTAACATGGATATTCCCCGATAGTTGTTGGGATCAGACATATTTCCTTGTTTATAGATAGGTACCAGTAAACCAACATTCCAAGAAGAGGGAAATACTCCTGAATCTAAAATGACATTAAACAATACATAGAAATGATCAGCAAGGGAAGGTGCATTCTTCATGAATTCTGGTGGAAGGCCATCTATTCCTGGTGACTTGTCCGATTTAATATCAGATATCCCTTTAATCATTTCCTCATGGCTGATGGTATCTGATAACATATCAATGTTCAAACATTTTTCACATGGAAACCTATCAAGAGCTCCAAGAAAATGTGCAACATCGTGATCAAATTCAGTTTGACTATCAGAAGAATTTAAAAGATCTTTAAAGTATGCAAACCATTCACTTGGTGTTATATTAATTTCATCACGTTTACTAGCAATGAGACATTTCAATCGTTTCCAAAAGTTTCAGCAGTCTTTATTATTTACAGTTTCTGACAAATTATGTAAAGCTTCGGCAATGAATTTTTCCCTTTTTTCGTGACAGATGCGCCGGAGCATACGTTTGGCCTCCCAAGTATTGATTGATATTGATTCTGTTTCTGTTCATACGTAGCTTTTCTAAAGTGCTATACTTTTTATGTTTTAGAGAAGAACATCCTTTATCAAACCGAATCGGTTCTTTTTTTCATAGATTTTTATAGCAACACATGTTTCCCATACTCTTTCCTTCGGAACTTAAGGTACATCAAAAGATGGAATATTAGTCGAAGCCGTAGTATAAGTAGACGTAGATTCGTAGTTCAAACTGCATGATATAGGTAAATGATCAGACTCTGTAGAAGAATGTACTCTCATATCCGTTATTAACGAAAACAGACTAGCTGATGCAAGGAAATAGTCTACTAGACTAGTACCTTTATTCCCAATAAAAGTAAAAGAACCATCACTATCCGCTGGCTTTCTTCCATTAACAATGTGAAGGCCCCAAACTTTACACAGTGATACTAAAGATTTTCCGAACCTACTAACTTTTTCATCCATTGAACTCCTTGGCTGACAGAATGAATCAGCATGGTACAGAGAACCGAGATTAAGAAATCGGATATCATCCTCATCCTCCAAGATAAAATCATCAAGTAGCCCGGTTCGGGCGTTAAAATCTCCCATCAATAGAACGTCATGTTTTCCCAAATCAAAATCTGCTGCAACCACTGATAGTTTGTTTTCTAGATAATCAATACCGTCATCCTCTTGTTTATTATACACCTGACTATATTCCGCTGGGATGTATACGCAAAATAGTATCAACTGTCTAACTGCAAATGTCAGCTTCAGCACAACAACATTATCAAACTCCGGATACAATCGTGTACAGATGTGCTGCAAGCTCTTATGCACATACATTGCTAACCCACCAGAAAAACTGCCATACGGACTAAACCTTTTGGCAGGTGTTGCAAAACAGCAGTAATTGGAGAACAGATTTTTAATTTGTCTGAATCGTGAACCATGGTTTCAACCAAACAAAATAGCTTAAATGTTTCTACAAAAGAAATAAAGTCTCCATCATCTAACTTCGACAGGAGTCTGTGTATATTCCATACACAAAAGTCACTCAGCTCACAGTGTGAGCTATGTTGATCATCCCTGTTGGGACCACGGCCGACGTCCTATGTGGACTGGTCTTCCCTGGGAGATAACGTCACGTCTGGAGCCCGTCTATCTGCAGCTGCAGCTTGCTGGCGACCTGCGGAGGACAACAGCGGGGTAGAGCTCTGGTCCCCGAGTTTCTCCAGGAGCCAGGGTCAACCTGAGTTCCTTTTCTCTGATTACTACGTCTTGTCGCAACTTGCCTGATACTGTTTCCATCGTTGACATCGTCCAGCACGAATACCTTGTTCTCCACGACGAGCTTGTCATAGGCGAGGTAGGCTTCCTTTATCATCCTAAGGATCAGTGCTGACCTGATCTTCCTCACCCTGTCGGTGTAGTCGTCACTCACTCGAAGCTCTGCGTTTCCTTTCAGTAGTGCCCTGGCCGCCTCATGTACACGACGCTTGTCCGTGGATAGGGAGAACTTGACGATCAATGGCCTCACTTTAGCCTTTGAGTAGAAACGGTGAGCCCTTTTAATGAAAACAGACTCGGCGTTGTCCAGGTCCAGCTTCTCCCTCATGAAGTCTCGTACAAGTCTCTCAGACTGGTCCCACGTCTCCGCAGCTTTACAAACGAGTCCATGAATGATCAGGTTCGACCGTCTGCTCTGCGCCTCTGTGTTATCTATTCTACTTTCCAATTCTCTTAATTTTTCTCTAAGTTCGGTGTTTTCCTGTTTCAACAGCTCAAGTTCACGTTCCATTTCGGCAGCAACTCTATCAAATTGTTATTCAAATTCACCATGTCCTTCTTGATCTCCTTAAACATTGCCAGCACATCATTTCCGCTGGGTTCGAACTCACCCTCCGAGTCACACTCACCACTGAAAGTAAGCTTCACCTGCTTGGATTTATCTTTCACCTGACGCTTTGGTGGCCCAGGATTTAACTCAATATCAGAGCACAGTTCCAGTAGACGGGCGATGAACGGATTGATCTGAAGGTAGTCGTCACTGCCTGGTACTTGGCTCCACTCATACACCTGGTGTCAGAATCCGAGTAATCAGTCTGGGTGCATAGGGTGCGACCCGTGAGGCAGAAAGTCAAATTTATTATCACAATCACCTTTAATTGTCTCTCAATGAAACCCCCTTTGATTGTAATTGATTTAATTGAGTTCAATTTACAGCGTGGCGGTTGGAAACACCAGACGCGCGCTCGCCAGCATGAAATCGACAGACCCATGTCAAGTCCGTGCTTCACGTGAATACAGTAGCTTCACAGCTGAGTTTTTCAAGCATGTTGTTTGCAAAACTCTTTTATGTTATTTCTTCAAATATTTTTTCTCGCTACAAGTTCTATGAACTTACTATAATGTCTGTTGTGGATTTCAGCTTCTTTTGTAGTCTGAGTATAGAGAACACTGTGTATAGACACAGAGCACTGAAAACGTGACTCCTCGCTGCGAGCTCCACACACAACATGGCATTAAGTGGTCATCCCCTTACCGTGTGTGCCATCACATCAATTACTCCAAGGCCATACTACTGTTTCTTTACCTGTCACTTTTTGTCTCTTCGTCTGTCTATTGTTGTCTATAACTATATATGTGTTCATATCGATGTTGTCACCAGTCTGGTATCCCAACAGCCTGTGTAGACCCGACCGCCAGCAGGATAATGCCTCTCGTAGGAAACACCATGGGGTTGGGCTGGAACACCGCTCACCTCGGTTACGTCTGAGCCGGAAAACCAGCTCCTTTCTGTCTTGTGTATTTGTTTTCCATATATTGTATAGCAAACTAAAGACGTTTAGACTCATTTATATGTTTACGCGTTGATACCATGTTGTTATGGTCTGTTGGGACATTTTAATCAAACGTCTTTATCTTGCAAGGCAAGGAAACCTAAAGATTTCATTGGGAGTTTATGACGAATATCACATAATCTGGATACATTCCATTTTTTCCTGAGACTGATATTTTTTCCGAGAGAAAAAAGTCAAAGCATTTGTCGAAAGCATGTCGACGTGCAAGTGAATCTGAACTTTTCGGTCACACGCTTCAAAGCCAGTTTCCATTAAAAAAACATTTGGCTTCCTCCCACACAGATGCAGTGATACTTGACAATATTGTTTTTCTTGGTTGATTTGTAGATTTGGATGCGAAATCTCTCTACCATATGGTCACTATTGTTATGTTAAGCAACTATACGGCGAAACGAAGAAGCATTAAACCGCAACACAATCAGCAATCGAGAGCAAACATGAAGGCGTGACTGGTCTGGCTACATGTCCCATCGCTGAAACTGCGTAGGGCAACAAAACCCGGAACTCAATTTATCACTTGTGGCGTATTTTTTGCTTCGGAACGATTCATCTATCACTTTACGTCGCTATTTCCGTTTCTCAGATTCGATTTCAGTCAAGAATTTGTAACAAAGCTAAAACTTTGTACATAAAGACTCCACTGTTAAATGTTAACTGAAATATCCCCAAACAATGCACTGTGGTGCCTCCAACCCAATCTGGCTTCCAAATCTTGCGACATTTTTCAGAAGAGAAAGAACAAAAAGAGTACAAAAAGTAATATTGTAAAGCTCTGAAATATTGAAAGTTGCTACAAAGGTTGATATAATGTATATAGTTATTAAAATTTTGGAAATAGTTTTGTCGCATATATTTACAAATGGCCTACGATGGTTACAGGTAATGCATCAGCACTTCAGGGCTCGCTGTTCTGACAGTACAATAAGCTCTGCCTTCAGCAGAGATATCTGATAAAGAATATGATTTTGTCATCGCTTTCACTTCTATATACGACATTAAGTAAGTTTTAAGTAATTTGGGGGTTGTTTGCTATCTGACACAGTCACCAATAACGTTGCTTTATGTAATAGCTGGATAAAACAAAACACGGTATGATTGCACACAAGTCATCGAGCCTAACTACCCGTTCCATGTAAGTCACCTCTAACAACAAATAAACGATACTACAGATGTATTCTTACCTTGAATTCCGAAGGTATTAACGTAACCTGTGCAGTGTATGATCACATCCCAAATCGAAATCATCTACAAAAGAAGCTACATTCATTTATCACGGCACAGGGAAGTTTCCAAGACAACCTGTGCAATAACCTATTCTGTTATCTAACAGGTAATGAATTCACTCAGTCATTACAATATAGTCCGACTACCGTTAATTATATATTACACTCCTGTTGTTCTTCAACCTTCGCCTACTTGTCACACGACATGACCGTTGAGAATAACAACATTAGCAGAACATAGCATGGTAATGGTTCCGCGGTTCCATGAGTTCTTCAACAGTGACACAATGGAAAGTCATTATTCCTGCATAGCTAGAGACTTGGATCAGGAATTAGAACAATGTTTGTAGTTTGCTTGTGTCACTCCCAAGAGGATTTTATCGATCAAGTAAGTTTCCTATTTCTTAAAGAATTCTTTAGTCTTCGTAAGTTAGTCTCACTGCAATAGTCTCACTGCAATTGACGTACAAAAGAAAGATCACATCCGCTGTTTGGGATTATTTTCCAAAACACAACGCATATATTTGAAAAAGTGTTGCCATAACACATGGATATGGTTTGAGTTTGGCAGATGAAACTGCTTGGGTAGGTCATCTGGGTATGAACAAAACTTGCGACAAAATTTTGTCCCATTACTTTACGACTAATTTTCGGCATGTGTGTCAGATGCTTGGCAAAACTAATCAGATTATTCCCTAATCCGTGGCTGGGCAATAAATACATACTCACTGTCGTGTGCTTAGACATTGTTTCCAGAGGCTGTTCCTTTACGGGCAGTTATGGCGCAGGTCACGATCAAGGCCTTGGTGAAGTTCCTCACTATGTGTTGTTTGTCTACAGACAGATCAAAATCCAATTTCATGTAGGCATAACTCAGATTCAGTATAATGCCTATCATCTTGTTGAATCTCAGGGAATTCTAGGGAGATCCCTTCACACTCTTAGGAACTAATAAGGACCTACTGTATTGAGACTGAGAAGGTCTGGGATGAAGGCAGTGATTTGATGTTGTTTGCTGTGTGGAGGTCAGTTCAGGAGTCCCCATGTTTCAGTCCATTTAACCTTGTCTTTGGCCACACTGTTTGTGGAATCTTAAAGCTCTTGGAGCAATGGCTTAATGATGGGTCTGAAATGAGACTGTTGGACTATGTTTAATCATTCCGGACTAGGTTCCAAAACTTGTGATCTTGCTATGGATAATTTCAAAGAATTCCAGTACAAGATGAAAATGCATTATGATAAGAAGTCGCAAGCGAAAATTCAGTCCTGGCGATAAAGTGTTAGTGTTTTCGCCAATCCCTGTTAAACAATTATGTGCTAGGTACAACGGGCAATGTGTTATTGTTAAGAAAGTCAATGATACTTGCTATGTTGTGCTAACATAAGGCCTTTGTAAAAAGACAAAACTTTGTCATAACAACATGATTAGAAAATATCAAGATCTGACAATTTACCCTCGTATATGTGTGTTGCCACCGTAGATAATGTATCAGATTCGGATATTGATGAGAGATGGGTCTTTGTAAGTTTAATGACAATGCTGACTATGCTAGCCTTCACCTACGCAGTTTTGAAATTTTAGCCAATTTTAAGCCAGGTTGCTTACCACCTTAACAAACAGCTCAAATGCTCATTCAAGAGCTAGCTCATCTGTTTCCGGATGTGCCGTACAGATTTATTATATCATGATGCAGATGATGCCTGTGAAACAACATCACAAGACGTTCTTTTATTGATTCCAGGTTATGTTTCTAGTTCCAACTTGGGAATAAACACGTAATCCATACAATTGGAGAGCAGATCGATGTCTGTCTGTCCATGTGTGCTTCTCTCGAGGGTAATACAGTTTGATGTACGCCTCTTTGTACCAGTACAAAGAGGCGTACATCAGACCGTATACCCGAGTCCTTGGGGTTTAGATCAAATCTATTTACTGATGCATTGTTCGGGTTCTTTAGTTACTGGCATTACACGGGGCATTATTTCATACATCAAAAGTTCATTGATGAAACAACTACTATAGTTATGCTTACAAGTAACGGTTATGCTATTTGAAGCCTTGTCAAGGAACAATGACCAAATTATTCATAAAAGTCAGCAAGTCTGACGAAAGTGACTGGAACAGAATGGGTCTATTTCATTTCTGTGTCGTGTTTCAGCAATTTCTTATTATACCAACAAGAGGGGTAGCCTAGTGGTTAAAGCTTTCCCTCGTCACATCGAAGATCCGGGTTCGACTCTTTACATGGGTACTATCTTAAGCCAGTTTCTAGAGTCCCCCGGGGAGATATTACTGGAATGTTGGTAAAAGCGGCTTTGAACCATACTCAGAAGAACACCGATTTAAGTCTGAAAGCGATTCAACAAGTTGCTCTTCTCAGCAGGGAATATGCGTTGGCACCATCCACAATTACTATACACTTGTGATCCTAATTACCAGGAGGCTGCTGCGATATTTTGGTCCATATGTGAATAACAGAGGAAGGTTGCTATCATCAACACAATAGAAGTCGTGATTATGACCTACAGGCTGATGACAGTGATGAGTCTTGTCCAGCAAAAGGGGAGGAATGTATCTTGAGCTGTCAAGTCCTCTTATTGAACGACATGGATGTAAAAGTGTAAAGGAAGATGAAATAGTTAACTAACGTTTCCTGAAAATTGAACATGTAAAGTCATGTTTGTGTGAGAGTATTACTTACATCCAGTTACATCCAGTGCAAACATATAAAATTTCAGATTATCATCTAATGTGGGTGAATCTGTTTCTGTTTTGACCAAACGTTTCAAACGTAATGTACCTTTGTTTAAGCTTTTATAACACTGTTTGCATGGAATAGAAAGCTATTTTTGTGTTCATCAATTTTGAAAAAGGCCATGTACTGAATGGTTGAAGCAAATAGACATGATTCATGAGAAGCGTGCCTAACACTATCCCACTGAACACTTGTTCCAATTTGTTAAACATTTACCGTTACAGACAATGGCTATATCGATTTTGGGGACAGTCCTTTGTTGGTGATATGTGTCCCACAGAGCAAAATGTAAGCCAGATCTGCATATCAAATCGACCAGACAATCCAATAATTGCAACTAACTCAAGAATCGGCGCGCAACGGCATACGATCAGCCAAATACCAACATCATCTAGGTGGTGCACGAAAGTTTTGGCATTTACGTTGCCATTGATTAGATGCAAATTTAATCAATGTTTTAATTTTCACACAAAAGATAACATGATACTTATGCTTGGTATCCACAAAAATAGAGTTGTCATATAATTGAAAAACAACAACATCTCTTACTTCTGAACATTTGATACAAGGTACCCGTCGAACTGAACCAAATTCAGGGTGATCAAACACTTCAAGCGTTCCACCGCCCATCAAGCCTATTTTCATAACGATTTAAGAGATGAACCTACTTTGTTCAGACATTTGATATTGTCTCATTGGCGATAAGAGTGGCCACATTTATACAAGTAAATTACTTAATAACTGGAGTGCTGATGAAGAGATATTATAAGTGAGTACAACATGATATTGCACAAACAAATACGGATTTGACAAAAAGCGAGCCTGACCACCCTGACCACCCGATCCCGTTAGTCGCTTCTTACGTCAAGCATGGGTTGTTTAAGACCAATTCTAACCCGGATCTTCAGGGGTCTGAAAAAATGGAGAATTAACACAAGTTGTATAAATATAGAACGTCAGCCCAAAAGAATACCCAGTCTTTGAATCCCCAGAAACACACTCCGTTTCGTGTAAAGGGGAAAACAGCTGTGAAGATTTTATGAATGAATCACTGAAAATCAATGATGACACCAGGTGCTCGGGAAAAGGGTAAGTATGTCCTGCCCTACGGTTAGCACCCGCCATTCACAACATTTGTCCCAAAACGGAATTATTTTTTGCCTGACGCTGCACAGCAATACTACTGCCATACCACTGTAGCCTGTACACACACCCGACAATCATGTCATCAATAAACCGGAAAATCCAGTTAGCTAATTTTGAATTACGACTGATGTATACAAGTACAGAGATTCCGATGGTAAATACAGAATATGGGAAAGAGAATTGTTTTACAACACAGTGAGGTCACTTGTAATGTCTCAGACCATTCATTTCGTTTGTGGTTTATTCAGCACACGAAAATATGCCAGTGAGCTTATGATGAATCTCGGGGCATTCAGTCCAACCCAGCAGAAACATCGACCCAGATTAATTAAATATAGTGAGGCAGTGCAAAAAGAATACCCAATGAAGTAGGACCACAGCCAAGGCCTATATGGATTTCCAGTTGAAAACTGATTAAGACAATACAGAGTGGATGGGTTCAAGGACTGACAGGAAGATCAAACTATGCACACGTTTACATCAGAATGACATTAAGGATATCTTAATCTATTCTGTGATAACTAGTGGTTGCTCTATTTGAATATTCATGGGTAATGAACACAAGGAAAAGACCTGAAGAAGAATTATAGTAAATAACATAAGCCTAACTCTGATTGTTGTTTCAACCGCTATTGAAACAACATTATCAGCATTTGTTCTCTGCCTTACCTAATCCACCACAGACATTAATTAAATTACTCAATCCAATTTTGGAGAGATGCATCTGGGATGGAAACACTAAACGAAATTAGAACACAACAGTTTGTATTAACAACGTTGACACTGACATGATACACCCAAAACTGATATACTGAAAAGACCTATTTCAGTATTCCTTTGTATATGTTCATGACGGTTAACACCATTGGGGCGGGGTACCTTTTCGCGAACACCTGATCTCATGGCTGTTTGTTAGTGATTCATACACACATGCTCATGATAAAGTCACAATTGTACAATGGACTTTTGGTGGAGGACGCGGGAGTCGATTTAATGCAACGTTGCATTAGTTCATTCGAACTTTATTATGTAATATTGTAACCTAAATACGTAATTTTGGGGGAATCAATTATATGATAGCTTCCCTGAGGGCTGATAGTTAGTATTATTGAGAGAAATGCATTATCTATTTTTAGAGAAGTGTGGTGATATAGTGCCTTTAAACGACTCCAGCAGCTTTTGCTGATGGGCGTGTGTCCAGACAGTAAAAGCCCACAATGTGGACTAGCGACTGCTTAGTTCTTGATATTGCTATGTAACATTCTGGGACAAAAAGTTTACAAACATTTTGCAAAAGTTTTCAGATTTCAGGGAACTTAAAGAAATCCTTTTAATACAATTTCATCCAGGTTGTTCAATTTTAGGAACGTGTTGCAGAACGCGGAATTCAGGATGTAAAATCCACTGTTAAGAGTCATTGTACATCAAAAATCCCAGGGGACTTCTACATTGTTGACAATAACAACCTTCGTCAGCTATTTAAATATGGACAGCCTCAAGTGTTTCATATTTAGATCTATGCATTAAGATTCAGAGTGACAAAAAGCTGTACGACAAAAGGGATACTTGCAAAAACAACCCAGTGTTTCCGAGTTGACAGATTAATTTAATCAAGAAATCCATACACGAATGGTTTCAGTATGAAACGAACAAACAACAAAGAAATAACACATGTTCGTGTTTCATGAGAAAACATAAACGATATAGAAATGCCAAGAAATATTATCTTTACTTATTTTGGAGTTTGTACAAACGATGCTACATTAATTGACTATTAGTGTATAATCATTGATGGACCTATTTACTCAAAGAAAGAACAATTGAAAATGAAAACGAACAACTCATGAATCTTTTCTCTTCTTAAGGAGTTAATACATATTGTGCGCTTTTATCTATGATGTTCTGTGAAATGATTGAGGAATGACTCTACGGTATACTACAACACACGTCTTGATGTACCCTACACATCTTTCTGACTTTGCAGTACTGTTAGACTTCTATTAATACTTTTAGATGCTAACGGTATATTTATATCTCATAGGTACATATAAGCTGCGTATCTGCGTAAAGTACGCAAATCTGTATGTGAAAACTCAATTTCTATTCAGTCTATTGCGCACAAGTACGCTTGAATTTTTGTAAATGATCAATAAATGTGATCTTACATGCGTGCACACAAAATGTCAAATCTTAGCCTGCGTACCGGTGGATAGATAAAATAACTGAAGTATACTGAGAGGTTCTATTTTAGGACATGAACTTGACAACTTGCAGTCTTTCTTATCGTTTCTCATATTACCGATTAAATATAAATAACAAACATTAACATTTAAACGTTACTATATTTTCAAATTTATGGAAAATGGCAAAATACCCAATTGAGTTTGAGTGAGGTGAAGACAATTTATTTGGTTACTCAAAGAAACATTTGGATACCCAGTTGAGATAAACACAAGTGAGTACACAACTCAATGACCCAACAAGTTATCTGTAGCTCTGTATCTCGAGTATCCAATACAGAACCTGATTGTGAAAATGATAAAGGATACAAACATAGCTGAAAGATGTATCCCAAATGTATTCCAAATAGAAAATAGCACTGGAAGGTTGAAAGAAAAACATCAGGACCAAAGATCATGGCTTAACCAATACAAACCAGTACGTGCCCTGTGTATATGCCTTGTTCACAACGCTAATGTGATGAATTAAAACTAATATGTAACAAATACAGATCCTGATCTTAGCTTTATTGAGGCTGAAAAAACCCACATGTATTCAAACTAAGCTATCAAACTTTTGTCAGTAATCAGTCTTGCAATAGTGTGAGGAGGACCCATTAGACTGGCTGGATTCGTTATTCGATGGTTATCCTCATGTTTGTTGCCATCAAATCGTCTACCAGTTGCTGATTCTATTACGAGCTTTTCTTCCTCTACATTTGTCCAAGAGGAAGAGGGTGATGAACACCAGGAATTCCGCGATCTCTGCGACTGTCAGCATGCTGGCTCCGAGACACAGGCCCATCTGACCCCCGATATTGGCTGCAACAACAACACCATTGCCTGAACATCTACATCGACATAAGGAACTCCACAATATCATGACGACGCTCCATTCCTATCTGCATACCACAAGCCTTTCTTACAGGGGGCTATATTGGGAAAAAATCTTGGCTCCCGATCCACAAAAGGTTCGTAGCGCTACGTCATTCGTAAGCCTATGATAAACTATAGAGTTACGACAGGTCGTAACGTTACGAACGCTTTGTGGATCTTGACCCTGATCTATTTTCAACGTGGAGCTATGCACCATGTGGAGTTAATACGAAAAAATATCCTGGATATACACTCTCTTTATAGCCTTTCTTTCTGACTCTTCCCGACTCTTCCCGTAAAGAACCGAGTTAGAATTGATCTTCAGCAACCCATGCTTGTCACAAGAAGGGACTAACGGGATAGGGTTGTCAGGCTCGCTGACTTGTCAACACATGTCATCGTATTTCCAATGCCCACGATGTTGATAGCTGGATTGTCTGGTCCAGATTCGATTATCACTCGATTTCTAGTGAAATACACGGATATTCTCGCTATAAAGCAATACCATACGGGTAAGAGATATGACACTTACAAAACAGCGAGGCCGCCGTGTATTGAGGTTGCTGTGTGATGGTTGTCACCATCATCTGGTCGTAGAACACTCTCAGCACCACGAAGTTCTCTCTGAATCAAAGACATCATGAAGTATTTGTCCATCTACTACCCAGTAGGATGGGAGTAATACCGCCGCCATTTTGAAAATTTACAAGTGCGTCTTTTGTGCTTTCGGTCCATCTCATCAACCTTTTTCTTTTCTGAACATTTCATGAAGGACTTTCCACTGTGCTACATATTCCCATTAAAACATACAGAATTACATTTTATGAAAACATTATGTTGCTGGATTTACGACTGTTACTGAGGATTCGATGCCCTGAATGTTGTTTCAAACGAATAGAAGACAAAAACATTGGTTTGAGACACACATGTATCATATTTTCTTCGCATATTGTTGCTTATGATTTTTTGTTAAGAAAGGAGAGATTAGATCAAGTTCCTCAAAGCAACCTTGGTGATAGTAAGCCAGTGTGAAAGTATGGGAGTTCTGGTCACCCAAGGGCTGAGATCGCTCTCTGGAACGAGGCCTTCGTCATACGGAAGTCTTACGTCATGGCTTCTTTGTCCTGTGCCCCTCTGGTCTTCAGGAGGTGGTTGACCCAGACCTTTGCTGGGAATGAGCTAGAGGACACCTGGGCAGTGTAACTGTCAAACCTGCACTCGCCGACACATCCACATTCCTCCAGGAAGTTAGCTTTGCTGGACTCTGCATCTGAAAAGAAACGACAAAACCCGTTCCACATCTATACTTTAAGACATCTTTGGAAAGCAGAGTCGTTTGTACAATTCTGATTATACCAGGAGTATCTGTTGACGCCACATTCATCAGTATTACAGCTGTATCCAGCATCCAGCAATGATGACACAGTGTAACACGTTTTTAATATTTTCAAATATACCACAATAGAAGAGGTCTCACCTCATTGTAAGAGACTTTTTCGTTATCAGTAAATTCCTGGACCCGTATACTCACCAAGAATGATCTTGTAACAACTACCCTCTTTCGTCAACGAACACAAAGGACCACCCCCTGCAATATAAATAAGTAAATATGATTGCTATGTAACCTTTTCTAAGGCGTGTTGATGCCTGGACATGCTAATATGATGATTGGTGGGTTGGGTTTGGGATGTGGGGGCGGATCATGGTTTTGAGGCAATGGTAAAGTCGGTAATAATGAGAACGCCTGTGGGTGTGGTCGTGTTACTGATTGTGTGTGATACGGGTTATGGCATTGTAGGGGCGATGGGGTAACCTACAGGTCAAAGTGTTCCCTTGTCAATCCGTAGACCATATCTGGTACTTGCATTTAATTTTTGTCTTGTCTTTTCGGTTTCAATCAAAACTCTTTTGTGTACAGGTTTCTTGGAGACATTGCTTAAAGCTGGAAGTCGACGAGAAACTCTATATCATATATTGTCGTAGAGTACAATTCATGCATTTTGTGGTCGTGGTCGTGGTGGTTATAATGACGACGGTTGTTATGGTGATAGTTATAATTTTGGTGTGATGGAATCCTGGAAGGGACATTATCGCCTTGTAAACTGAGTAAAAAAGTGTTAATATGCGCGACAATGCGATCTATATTTCGGACATTTTAACGCCTTTTTGACAATTCACTTTGGGTGACAATGGGACACCGCGACATTATGGCCCTGAAAAGTGTGTTATTGTTGCCTTTTCGCAGAATAAAACAGATATTATTCAAAGAGTGACAACGCAACATAGCGACAAGGTCAGACATGAAGATGGTCAAAATGGAACGTTGTCGGATTGACTCGCTTTTGTTAATTTTGACTTTTTTTGCTTGTTTTTGGGAGGCAAAGAGGCAAAACGGTAATGTCCCTTCTAGGGTTCCATACAATATGCATGGAAACTAACGTCTCTTAACATCATGGCTGACTAACACAGTATTACTAAAATTCTTTGAAACATTTTTCCTTCCATTACTTCTTGTTTGTTTGGTTTGTTGTTTTACGCCGCACTCAGCAATATTCAAGCTAGGTGGCGGCAGTCTGTAAATAATCGAACCCGGACCAGACAGCCCCGTGATCAACAGCATGAGCATCGAGCTGCGCAAATGGGAACCGATGAGATGTGTCAACCAAGTCAGCGAGTCTGACCACCCGATCCGGTTAGTAGCCTCTTACGACAAGCATGGGTTGCTGAAGACGGGTCCCTTCACGGGTCACTACCATTACTATCACGAGGTAGAAAGAAACAAATTAATTATTGTTTAACTACTGAATTCCTTTGAATGAAAATTACTGAAATATACGGGTCACGAAACCGTGTTGAAAATGAGTTTATAAGTAACTTACGTGGATCAGAAGGTCCGACACATCCACACTGGTCGAAGGCCTTGGTCTGAACACACTCCATGACGCAATGGTTAAAGGTGTAAGGGGAGTAGTACTTGAGAGGATTCACAAACTCGGGACTAGTTGTGTCCACACAGTCCGAGTGACCAAACGCCATGTAGGGAAGTGGTTGGTAGATATACTACGAACAAAGCTACACGTTATTTGTCTTTACTACGGAATCACCTTATTGAAATGTAGGGCCTAATTGCACAAGCTATGATTAGCTTACACAGATAATAAACTAGTGCTCAAAAGAAATGTGTTTGACCAAACTTGAAAAGCATACAGAAAAGAAAAGCATACAGAAACATCTGTATAATTTCAATAGAGTATTCAATTCTACGGCAAATGTACACAATTTCATTTCAAACAAAGTCGCAAGTACCGTTTGACTGACACTGAAAGACACGTGGCACCATAGTCTTAACCCTTACACAAATCAACAAGGCGGTTTGTTCTGCAAAAATATCATCACATGATGAATCAGTAGTGAGTGTGTCCACCATATGCTTCAATACACGCCAAAACACGTCAACGCAGTGATGCCGTAAGACTACGAGTGAGTGAGTGAGTTAATATTTAACGTCACATCGGCAATATTTCAGCCATACCGTCGTAAGACTACGAATGACGTTAGGCGTGATCCATTGCCATCCTGAAGGAGACTATGTTCGGGTGCAGCCGAAGGTTCCGGCAATGACGGTGTGGTAAGCTCCTTGATGGGCTTTTTCCGACACACACTCTCCCTCTCTCGATCAATCGACGTTTGGGCAATTCGTTGACATGTTTCCGGAAAGGGTGAATCTGGATTAGTATGTTTTATCACATCTAAGTTCAACACAACCATGTTTGACTGAATATTCATACGTACTGACCTCATATTTCTGCATGGAGACATATGTGGAGAAGCCGGATGCCGCCATCACAATGGTGGAGCCAGCGTCTGGGTGGACAGATGGATTATGGAGAAATACCTGCATGTACACATAACATTTTCTTACAGTCCATTATATATGGTGATGTTCAGATATACATTGCCTTCATCACACAAAAGACATCAAAGCATAATACTCATATGAATACACATTGCAATCAATATGACAAAACCTCTGATTATAAATCACCATATAGCAAATTATATTCAGATCATTATTTTGTTTGTTTGAATATTTCGACTCTCCAAGCGCACTATATATTGATTTTAGATATGCACGTGCTACGATCAAACGCGTGCATCACCCCTCAAATTCAAGGGATTGTTCTTACCACTCGATAACTTGATTTCGTTGTTGATAAACAAATATGCGATAAGCAGATAACTGCCAACTGCTCAAGCACTGAGGCGTGTCACTGAAGTCCATTGCAAGAAATGATGGTTGTCATCCATCGACTATCAGCCGATTGGTCAGAAACCATCAGCAAACTAATAATGACGTTGAGTACCGTCAACGTTCAGGTCGATCCGAAGGAGTTTACAACCCTTTTCAGAATCAAAAGCGCTCATCCACTCATGCCAAATGATTACATTTATCCAACAGAACAGTGGAGGCAGACGACCTCATAAGGCGTCCATGAGCACAGAACAGCACGACTAGCTTGGTGTCAATCTCGACGTCACTTGAATTTAAGATCAAGGGGTAGGTACCAATGATCAGGCGGAAGTCGATTTCTTTTGTTCGTGTCTGATGGCCGAGCTCGTGGTTGGGGCTGCTAATAAACTGCATATGTTGAATGTCTTGGAACAGGTCCAGTTGGGCGGGGTTTCATTGATGGTCTCACATGTCTGTAAACGTGACCTTGTGACAATCAGACGCACCCATGGCGTGCACGATAAGGGACAGGTCCAGAGAAACAGCTGACCAGGGGAGTACCGGAACGTTCTGCTGTCTTAGGAAATCTGTCCCAACACGAGCCACATGTGGATGTGAATTATCTTGCTGAAGCGTGAAGTTACGTCTCTGCCCTTGATTACCAGATTGCAATTGACAATGACAGATGTGATGCTTCCCCATACCATAACGCTCACGACACCAAACTGTCAACGTTGCACAACGCACGCGTCTGCATACCGTTCACCTCACCGTCTGTACACCCTTGCCCTGCCATCTAAGCTGTCCAGATGAAATCTCGACTCGTCAATGAAGAAATCACCACCCCAGTGAACACCTTGTCTCCTGTACCGTAGATGTTGTCTGCACCAGCGAAAACGTGCCTGTTGGTGATGTTGGAGCAAAATTGGACGTATTGCAGGCCATCGGGGCTGGATGTTCTGCTACCACAGTCCTGGAACTGATTGGACGTAAGCCAGTAATGGCCCGAGCAGTACAACTGTCAGCCTGAAATCGATTCCTTGGCTGGGTCAGCTGAATCGGGTTGTCTTGCTGACAGGACGCGTTCATTTTTTGGCCATTGCAGTCAATGGCCACGGCGCGGAGACGCTGATTTTCTCTAAGACGTAGCATGTTTAGGTTGAAATTAACGTCTTTTCCACAACATTCAGAGGCAACAAGGGAGTAAGTTAATTGTGCACAAAGTGCACGTGCCACGCGCGATACATTTCATGCACAGTGCTTTGCTACATGTTTATTTAGGATTACTTTTTAACAACTTTGATGTTTTTTTTCAATTTTATGATATGCACAGTTACCTTTTCCGTTAGTATATTATCAAGAAATTATTTCCTCGATATTCACAGAAAGTATTTGAGACAAGTAGAATTAATACCATGTGGATTCACAAAAACAAAAAGAATTTGCTTACATTTTTACAATCTCAGAAAAAGACGGCGTTCCGTTCTGTCAAAACATTTTTTTTTCAAAGTTGTATACCACTATGACAAACGTGAGGATCCAATACCTCCGTGAACCAAGGGGCATGCATAAATAAACCTGGTGAACACAGACATACCTACATATCTATCTTCAGAGGTTCAGGACAATTTGTCAAAAATTAAAGCAAATGTCATTTGAAGTTTACCGAGAAAGCAACATGTGAAGTGCTGGACTTTTCCATTGTTAACATCTTTGTAAAAGAATCAAGAATGGAACGCACTACCTCAACATAATCAATGAGGAGAAGGATCAGCATGGAATTGCAGTTGGCGCAGGTTACACCCGACACTGACATTGTACTCAGTTATTCATACTTCTTGAGGACTATCTGCCAGAATTTTTAAAACGTCAGGACTTGTTAACGTCAATTGACCAAAGATATCATCATTACAAAATGACTCATTTCTTTCGATGTTCGCTTCTCTGAATACAGTACGGATTTTCGTATTTTTTCGTTAAGATTTGCCATTTGATTATTCCTTGGATCCAGTTGATCAAGATAGTATGAGCTAGATAGATGAGCTTTTCATGTCCACATTAAGCGTTCACTCTAAATGAAGGTCAAGATCAATAATGTAGAATAATATGCGGTTGTACAGCACAAACTAATTTAAGCACTAAATACTAAATACTGATGACAGCATCACCATTGCATTATATATTAAATCATACGAAGCGTTCAGATGGTGACTTTTGGATCTATTTGAAGCCCTTACTCAGGTATTTAGAGAAGGTGTGATTTACCCTAATCCCTGCTGCCATGTTTGCTGTAAATGTGTAATGGTTCTGATTGATATTCAGCAAGACCATGAGGTTCTTGGAGTCACCCGCCTTCTTCACTCGGGCAATTTCGCTGTCATTGAAGTTGAAGGTATGGCACAATCCCTCAGACGTGAAAATAGGTCGGAACTTGCTCATGCAATCAAACTGTACACCACCAAAGACACATGACATCAGCATTTCGGCTCCATCCATAGACATATTCCTCCACCATTCTAAAGACAATTGTTTCTGAAATACATCCGAAACAGGAACTAAGCTTTCATTCACCAATCCCAAAGATCTGTTGAAGAAATAGGTCTCCATTTCTGGATAAACGTCAAGACGGGTTTTGTTGAGGGTGCATCTGTTGCAGATGGTGACGGCGGGGAAGTCGATGAAGGGCACCATTCTGGGTGTGAACTTGGTGATGGTGGGATAGCTGTAGTAGTCTCCAATCTGATCGACAAGGTTATACACGAGGAAGGCCGTAGTTGAACACAATGCTATCATCCAAATCGACCTGTCAAAGTAAGATGACTATAATGAGCATTATTAGATTGTCACACACATCTAACAGACAAGAACTGCATATGTACAGGGGCTTTTACAGTGTAAGTCAATGTGGAGTTAATAAACCAATGGTTGATACTATGACCATTTACCAATGAATTTTGGTAGTTAATAAAGCAAAGTCTTACTACAACACGGTGCCCTGTGACTATTAAATACCCAATGCTCATTCCAATTTATTCCTTACAACCCTGGAGACAAATAAACCCAGGAGACCACGGTAACATGACAGAGGGTTGATTGTTGTTTTCGAAGTCACCTACCAATTGAACGAAATCTTGGGTAACCCTAGATTCCCATTCCCATAAAGAACCCAAGCGATCTTCACAACACAATATTCTTTTTTTTATCTTTGGTCTTCAATTGAAGAACCGCAAAAGCCACAGCTCTGAGATCGATACTGTGGGCGATTCTTTTGTGTTCAACGACGCTAGTTAAATAGATCTTATTACACAAGCATATAGCATCGTGCAGCTAACCTTCCTGGTTAAGGTAAGTCCCTAAGAGTTGCTTAAATGCATCAGATGAACGTGGTGACTTTGGAACCACGTTTCGCTGGGCCCTGGTGGCTTGCGGGACCTGTTGGCTTGGGGGACCTGTTACAATAATAGTTGCTTTCCTTGCATACATTTGATAATTCAAGTCGTGGTTAGATAGATTTGGTGTTAAATAACACAAACACACACACACACACACACGTGTTAAGCACATCTACACCTACCCTCGGATGCTAAAGGGGTTGACTGAAGGAGGTTTAATCTTATCAACACCATGAAGGCCTGTAGAATCTCTGAATTCGATCCACAGATCTTTCAGTCTATACTTTGGCGAACGCCGGTCTGCGTCAAACGTCAGAGCCTCTGTCTTCTCACCCACATTCATTGTTTCTGTGGACGAAGTTTATTTCATATTAAGATTAATCCTGGTGATCTGAACAATAAAATACAGAAATGTTCGTTGTTAATTTGGCTCCAAATGTGTTACATTTGCCATATTCAAACCGGATGGCCTTCACCCTCACTCACTGACACAAGAAGGTAAACACCGGGGCTCCGTTGAACACAGCTTTCTTAGCGCTAAGATGATCGTAACTACTATACTTTAACATAGGCTTACGGTAGTCTTAGCGCTAAAATATGTTTGTGCAACGGGGCCCGGGTGTGAATTTCAAACCATCGAAAATAACGAATTTATTAACCTTTAGAATTTCAGGTGACAAATTCCGAAGTATTGAGGAACATAATGGAACGGTGTGGTACACAAAGCGTTTCGTCATGATTGTTGTCGCAGACGAAGGGACAGAACTTGGGACTTGTTATTTCAAATAGAACCGCTGTTTAGGATATATCTTAAGGCCAATCTATTCCCACTTCGCAGATGTTGATCACTGGATTGCCTGGTCCAGACTCGATTATTTACAGACGGCCGCCATATAGCTGGAATATTGCTGAGTGCGGCGTAAAACTAAACTCATGCACTCACTCACTTCACAGAAAAAAATAGAATAGTATCCAACCTTTGATAAATAATATTTGCTGAATTTTGCAAGTGTGTTGGATTTCAATGCCAAACTTCGCAAACTGACAAGGGCGTCCCGCTGGAACAGGGTGAGATGACTTCATGCTATCCGTGAAACTTACAAATACGATTACATATACATTGGCTATTAATAGTCTACACAAAGTCATCTGATTTATCTGAAGAGAATACTAAATAACACTGATAACTAAGAACATAGAAAGAACTTTAAGTTTTTGAATTGTTAATGATAATTGCAGTTTTCCGTCAGTGATGTGGCATGGAAAACGTTTGATGTGTTCAATCTTTCCCCTTCAAGGGACGCATACTTACATGGTTGCAATATGGGATAATTCAAGAAATGTTTAAAACGCATTTACGCAATTCAGTATCCATATCTGTAACCAAGAGAGTGAAACAACATTTAAAACATCTTTGGCAACAGATGTTATTAACAATGACTATTGTGAATACACTACGAACAGTTTTCGTGACAACGAATAATTGTATGAAGTATCTAGTCTATTCTATTTTCTATATGTTCTCCTGGATGGGTGATATAAGAGGAATTGATGTGAGTCTTACACCATATTCTAACACTACACAACACTTTAGATAATAAACCGATATGTCATATTAACATAGTGTGTGAGTACCAGACCAGTATTTACTTACCCTCTATATATATGACATTATACTATCAACGGTTACGTACATATACAACTAGAATTTGTCGTTCTGAACAGTGTATACGTAATTCTGAGTATATATGTGAGTAAGAGGAAAGGAATGTCTTCTATTTGAGTATCATAATACTATCAATTTTATATATGATATATAAATATAAAAATATAGACTCTGACTTTCTTATGTTAATACATAGATATTACCTTCTCTTGGATATTTTCAGTTCCTTCTTTCCTGTGCACAGAAACGTCAGCACCCTTCAGCTGTGTATGTTCCATTGAGGCTGATGCTGTCTGATAAGACTTACCCAACAACCATGTGTAAATAAGACGTTGATGTACCCGCGTGAATATATTCATCAATAACAATGTTCCAAGCCTGGTCCCAAATCTGTCAATGCCTCTGTCTTTATACACAGAACACAAAATGTAAATTTAAATTGTGACGATCTCAGAAATGCACATACAAAGTGTTTTATTTCCAATGGGTATACTGAGTACAGATAACCATTATTCGTCCACAAAGGCTCTGTTGGACTGAAGGGTGTGTTTGTCATTGGCTGGTAGATCCTTGTCCCAATGCGTGATAGCTTTCCTTGTCTGCTTCTGCATATCAATGAGTCTCTGGTTGAATGACGTTTTCACAGTTACTTGATGCATACAAGATTCAGAAGGTCCTCTGATAATGTCTGCAGAAACAGATTCCACGGGGCGTCAGATGCAAACGAAGGATGACAAAAACCAGCATCACGTGAAGATGTTGAACATTCACATCCATCATCGGATGTCTTACAGATGTTTTCCTTGTTGTTTGGGTTTTAAAATCCCCTCATATCAGCGTCGAGTGCCAATTGTCTGGTATCATTTCTTGATGTGACTGATTTTGTGACGGTGGTCGTTAGATTTCTCATTATGTACTTTTCCATTTCGTGCAATCCATTGCGTTCCGCTTTAAAGGAGATTGATTTCACGTTGTTATGACGAACATCGATGAATTATTTAGATTATTTGCTGTGAAATGAATATTAATTAGAGTCAATTGTGTCTCTGATTTGGTCGGACGCATGTTATGGTGTTAACAATGTGCACCAGTCCCGGTCTGTTTGAAAGTGTTTTGTTAATGTTTTCACATGGTTGCATGTAAACATACACTGCATTAACATCTGAAGCGTGAAAGTCCCCACGTATTTTGTGGACTTTGTCGTATTTGGATTGGTGATGTTAGCAAGGATTGCCGTATTTGTATGGATGGTGTTAGGAAGCATTGCCGTATTTGTATGGATTGTGTTAGGAAGCAATGCCGTATTTGTATGTATGGTGTTAGGAAGCATTGCCGTATTTGTATGGATGGTGTTAGGAAGCAATGCCGTATTTGTATAGATGGTGTTATGAAGCATTGCCGTATTTGTATGGATGGTGTTAGGAAGCAATGCCGTATTTGTATGGATGGTGTTAGGAAGCAATGCCGTATTTGTATGGATGGTGTTAGGAAGTGTATTTGTATGGATTGTCTTAGAAAGCAATGCGGTATTTGTATGGATGGTGTTAGGAAGCAATGCCGTATTTGTATGGATGGTGTTAGGAAGCAATGCCGTATTTGTATGGATGGTGTTAGGAAGCAATGCCGTATTTGTATGGATGGTGTTAGGAAGCATTGCCGTATTTGTATGGATGGTGTTAGGAAGCAATGCCGTATTTGTATGGATGGTGTTAGGAAGCAATGCCGTATTTGTATGGATGGTGTTAGGAAGCAATGCCGTATTTGTATGGATTGTGTTAGGAAGCAATGCCGTATTTGTATGGATGGTGTTAGGAAGCAATGCCGTATTTGTATCAGTGATGTTAGCAAGCATTTTCGTTTTTGGAAGGGTGATGTTAGCAAGCATAGTCCCATCTGTATCGGTGATGTTTGCAAGTATTGTTTTATTTGCATGGGTGATGTTAGCAAGCATAGTCCCATCTGTATCGGTGATGTTAGCAAGCATTTTCGTATTTCTATAGGTGATGTTAGCAAGTATTTCTATGAGTGATATTACGAGTATTGTCGTATTTGTATGGGTGATGTTAGCACGCATGGACGTATTTGTATGGATGATGTTAGCATGAATTGTCGTATTTATATGGTTGATGTCAGCAAGCATGGCCGTATTTGTATGGGTGATATTAGCAAGCATTGCCGTATCTCTGTGGGTGTAGCTGGCGAGCATTGCCATATTTTTGTACGTGGTGTTAGAAATATGTCCCGTGGGCCACGGTGCTTGTTGAATGTTGGTAAGGGTCTTTCGGCGTGATGATGGTCATTAAAGGAATCTTATTGAGTTAAACATTGTATTCAAGTCGCTAACACCAAACTGCAACCATACCACACAGTTTGTCAGTATCAATATATGTCAATATGTAAATCAATGTCAAGTGTTCATTGTGATTTACGTCTTTCAACAATTCCACCTGCGAAGATCCGGGTCCGAATTGATCTGCAGCATCCCATGCTTGTTGTAAGATGAGACAAACGGGATCGGATGGTCAAGTCTGTTTGGTTGATGCATGCCATGCGTAGATCGATGTTCATTCTGTCAATCACTAGATGTGCTGGTTCAGACTTGATTATTTTTCAGATCGCAGTCATAAACCTTGAATATTGCTGAGCACGGCGTTAAATCATACATAAACACTCAACATTTCTAAAGAACAATCACCAAGCTATATACGCAGATACCGTTTTGAGGGATACGACATCAAGCATGGCTGAAATCTAACAGTATGCGCATAATGAAGCAATATGAAATTCCATAAAGAAACGAATAAATATCAGCAGGAAAACACACATTATATTAAACACTATTCGGAATTAAAAATGAACATCACTCTCAATGTTCTCTGTACACAGACCCGTAAAGATCCGGGTTAGAATGAGCCTTCAGTAACCCATGCTTGTCGTATGAGGCGACTAACGGGATCGGGTGGTCAGGCTCGCTGACTTGGTTGACACATGTCATCGGTTCCCAATTGCGCAGATCGATGCTCATGCTGTTGATCACGGAATTGTCTGGTCCAGACTCGATTATTTACAGACCGCCGCCATATAGCTGGAATATTGCTGAGTGCGGCGTAAAACTAAACTCACTCACTAACTCACTGTACACAGTGATTGGGTAACCCTTCCTGGATTTCATTTTCTAGATGAACGGACAGAGGAATAGAGTTATTGGCATCTTTGCATGAAGTTTGTACAACACGTGTCTGGATGTGTCGTGACAGAAACGTTGCCCGTCATTGACAGAGCACAGCGATATATGCTACTAAGAATTGCAACTGAATGCACTTCTGCAACTTCAGGGACAAAGATGTCGTTTGACGCCATGTTTTGGATGATATCTAATGACCAGAGGGGCGGTGGGTTAGCCTAGTGGTTAGAGCGTTAAGCCTCGTTAGAGAAGAAAACCATTGTCCACTTAGAGTGGCCAGCCAGTCAGTGGACATCGGACGTATTCAAAACACGCGACTGAGCAGGAAATTGACCTTCACGACGCCCACTCTGCAGGAAGTCGGCCATCCTCATATGTTCATAAAACATAACTTCAAGCAATACTCCTTTGACTTATTCAACGGGTGCACTCTGTTTACCTTTCAAGTGATGATCCTTTGTAGACCTTGAGTAGTACAACAGAACAAACATGAGAAAGGCGAAAACTAAATTTTAAGAATGATAAATATATGATATTTGATTTTCAAAACGACACACACCACTCCTACCATCTTTATACATTTGTAGAGTTTCATGAAAAGCAAATTGGCACCAGAAATAAAACCGACCCTCATAATTCTAACAATATCTAAGGCCGATCAATAGCTGAATGTGTTCATATAAAGTTGCACAAAGTTAAAAAGAAGCATTTACATGTTATTTTCTCGAAACGAATCATTATACAACAAGGACATGGAAAAGTCACCAGTTTATATTGCAGTTGTTTCTCGTTGTGTCGAATTCATGGGTAACTTTATTTCTCTACGTCGGTTTTCAAACTGAATAAAATATTGTTACACGTGCGCCTCGAAAAGGGCGATATTTAAATAAATTATGGAACTTTTCGATAATGGTGCTGTAGAATTCGATCGATTTAAAAGAAATTCCTTAGGAACCAACACGGAGCAGAAGCGTATTCTTTGGTTTCTAGTCTGTGGAACCAACATCCATTAACATTTGCATACAATTGTGTGTACAACATTGCATCATGGATGTTAAACAAGGCATAAAATATTTCTGGACATGAAAAGAAATATCCTGAGGAAGCACTCATTGTCAATCAGTTGTTGGTGTAACTCTCCGTGCTGGACTTCTGTGCGATCGATCTCCGCCATCCAAAACTTAAAACTTTAATATTGTTTAATTATCGATCTCTGATTTCAGAACATTGGACGTTTGAAATACTTAGTAGTTCAAATACTCTTCCTCTACACCTCAACACATCAGGTCCTCCTTGTAAGAAATGTAAGTTATGAGGTTAAACTCCGAGAGGTAAAACCAGATGTTCGCCTGTTGTTTTGAGGTGAACAAGTAACTAGATTTTGCATGTGTTCATGCAACCACCTGTAGTACACTCACCGTTTCACGATTTTGGAAAGGATGACATAAGTCAATCAAGTCAGCGAGCCTGACCAATTGATCCCGTTAGCTGCCTCTTACGACAAGCATGTGAAACCGGGAACCAATTCTAACTCCTCAGCTTAAAAGGAAGGAAGTACACTAAATAGACGTCAGTCACGACCATTCACACAAGAGGCATTCTCACATAAACGAGGATATAATGTATTCTCGTCCTTCAGAACTATAGAATGATAATCCTCATTCTTTGCAGGGGCCTTCTTGGAATTGTCATTGAGGCATTGTTCATCACTTGGTCGAGGACATTATTTGACATGGAGCCCTTGCTATTTGCACTGTTTGTCACTTTTGTTTGCTTAACGCATTATTCTAGCTATAAATACATATTTGAGTCTGGAAAGTCCAATGATTGAAAGCAAGACCATCGATCCAATCAACTGAGATACGATGACATATGTCAACCGAGTCAAAGATCCAGACCACCCGACACCATTCGTCGCCTCTTTAACATGGCCAATTCCAACCAGAATTTTCTAGGGTCCTTAATTGCAATGTCTACCAGAAGGGTGAAGACATTACATACTGGCGGCAGTCCTATCTACCAGTTGTTGATTCTGTTACGAGTTCTTCTTCCTGTACACTTGTCCCAGAGGAAGAGGATGATGAACACCAGGAGCTCCGTGACCTCCGCAACTGTCAGGATGCTGGCTCCGAGACACAATCCTATCTGGCCCCCGATATTAGCTGAAACAACCACACAATTTCCTGAACATCTACATGGATATAATGAATGGAATCATTCATCATATCATCACGGCCACCCGGTTCTTGTCTGCAAACCACAAGACATTGTAACACGGCGCTATTCATCTGCCAGCAAAACAACTCTTCCTCAAGAAGTTTTGCTTTCAAATATGGATGTAGATATTGGATATGCACATATTGAATATGCACATAAATAACATAATACAAATCACTCAATCTCTGACTTATTGCACTGGAAAGAGCATTGACAGCCGCAGCGTCTTCAGATGGACAGATAGGTTGCATTACAATGGCATGTGGGACACTGCACGATTAACTGCAGATGGTGGAGAGGTAGACTTTATGAGAATGACATGTGGAGCACTGAATTGGGAAAACCTTTAAATACAATTGTGTTTCCAGTGTTGAGACTTTTCATTTGATACACATTGCAGATTTTAATGTGCTTCAAAAAAAGTAATTGTTTACCTGATTTCATTTTTCCCCAAATCAATTTGTTCCGACTCGGTTGTGCGAGTATGTTTGCGTTTTTACCGCTTTGAACCTTATTCCCAGCTAACAATTTCAAAATTGCCACAGTGTAGTCACAACGTTACGCTTTCATTATTACAATGTTATTCTGTGGACTCCGATTAACGTTGTACAACCTTTGTGGTCTGACGTTGTGGTACGTCATTTCTACGTTGCCATAAGGTAACGTTATTTCTATTTAACGTTAATAGATGAATAGCTTTCCCAGTAGTAAGCAGTACATATGAAACAAAGCAGAAATGCATTTCAATGTTTATTCGTCAATTTCCATCGTTTTTGTCGTGTATTTTCTGAAGCTGTAGCTGAATCGTGAAAAAAAGAATCTCAAAATGAAACGTTTTACAGAAAACTGTCCTGACACCACGTTATAAGAAACGTTGCTATAACGTGTGGAGCCGAAAGCATATCGTTTTCTCAACGTAAAATTGCAACGCCGTTATCACGTTGTGACATAACGTTATAATTTTAATGACGTAATATTAACGTTTGTGTCATGACTTTACCAATCTACAACCTTCCCACAACGTTGGGAAACGTTGCTGGGTTTCAGTTCGAAGAACATAGAAAAACATTATTCTGACCTGGCTTGGATCTTGCCACGCTTGCACAGATGAATAATATCGAGAAATGTTGGAAACGGACTAATGCTAATATCATTACGTTAATCCTGGAAACGCAATCCACTTACAAAACAGTGAGGCCGCTGTATATTGAGGTTGCTGTGTTGTGGACTTCAACATAATAAAGTCGTAGAACACTCTCAACTCCAGAAAGTTGTTCCTGAATAACAGCAAATACAGGCAATGACACTTAAGTGAAAACCGCGAATTTACACATGGCATGATAACGGACTCACGAGCATAACCGATGCTATAGTCTGTTTGCAGTGAAAACGTACCGGTGAATTTCACTTTAAATAAAAAAGTAAATCAAATAAAGTGAAATAAAGATTGCTATTGCGAATTTTACCTTGCCAATTGAACATTTGAATCTCAGAATTTTATTCAAATTAGGATAAAAGTTGTTTAACAAACGATCATAGATTCAAATCGCTATTATTAGTTTGTATTACGAGGGGGTAAGCGCAGCAGATGGAACAGTGAAACCAATGCACGTGCTGTACGTGATGAGCGTTAACTTAGACCAGCCCTACTTGTTCTCGGTGTTTCATCTAATGTGCATTCCCCCCTTGTCTCAAATGTCTCCGTCGTCTCACATTATATCAGTGTGAAGGTCATATTTCCATCTTTAATATCTAGCCTACATGAAGTCTACATGTATGTGTTTGACAAGCGATGCTGCTACATGAATGTTCTTATCCATCACTTAGTTGCTATTAAGACTGTTATTGTATCATAAACTGTCATTGAATTTTGTCAACCACACAATAGTGGCACTGTTGTCGTAATTATTTTGGTGTCATTTGCACTGATTTGTAATCTGGTAAATTTCATCATGCACTTTTAATGGCATGTGTTGGTTTCCCATTGCGTAGGGCTTTATTCGCACACTGTTTGAATCAATTTTGAGGTCGCAACATAACAGTACTTATAAGCAGCGACCCTGGCATATAAGGGACGTAACTGAGACAAAGATGGCAATGTACCAACCTTGAAACCTCACGCATAAGTGTATATCAGATGCAGTTAATGGTTTTGAAACATATCAAAGATGATAAATTTGTGTTTTGGCAATTGGACAAAGCGGAACGCTCACACCATAGTCTCCTTGTCCCGGGTCTGTGTGGTGTTGAGGACGTTGTTGGTCCAGATGTTTGCTGGGAAGGAGCTGGAGGACACCTGGGCGGAGTACCTTTCTAGAGCGCACTCTCCGACACAACCACATTCTTCTACGAAGGTACCGTTCTTTGACATTTTCCCTTGGTAAACAAGTAAACTTTGAGGTTTGATTACAAACTGTAATCAAAATAGTTTTACACTTCTAAGGAAACGTTCCATTTAATCTGTCATTCTATAATTTAACGCACATATTGTCTTTTATCACATTTGTAAAACAGTTGTAAGGTCTGGGTGTTCCCTGTCACAGAAACAACCTTTATAGGAAAATCAGTAAATGAGATACAAATCAAATCTATTTGTCACTCTTGCGAGTACATTAAGCATAAAGATATAACTGTGATTACAAAGCGTATTTTCAAATATATCAAAACAATTTAATTCAGAAACATTAATGAGTTATAAACAATATTCCATAAACATACGCAGTTGATATTGAGCCGAAAATAGATGTCATGGAAGACATGCTCCTCCTACTATGCTGTTCTGCCCAGAAAATAGTTTATGGCCATTGTCAACGAGAGATTACCAATCAAAAGAGGTGGTTATGGAAAGAAACTAAAACATATTATAATCATCTTTGTATTTTCAAAATATATATGGATGTACTTGAAGATTTGCAATCTCAGAAAGCAAAGAGGTTTGTTCTGGCGCCCCCAAAATCTCTTCTAGACTATATTTCAGTATCTCACACGACCAGCTGTGGAAAGGAAAACTGTATTTCTTGATCCAAAGCGTGGTAACAATAGACGCATGTCGATCTTTATCTTCAAAGGTTCAGCACAATTTGCCAAAACAGAAAGTATATTTTATATGTTTACTGAGAATACGTAAAATGTCGGATGCATTATTTTTTAGGAAAGAATGACCTATATATTTTAAAATTACCTTCATTACTTGAATCTGTTTTTAATCTTAAAGAAATTTTGGGAACAGATCTTTCCCATCGACCCCAAACTCTCCTCATCAAGAACATCAAAGAATATCGTTACACGTAAATGGTAGTGATACTTACTGACAAAGGCAGTGTAACAGCTGTGCTGTTCCACCAGAGAGCATATGCGACCATCCTCTGCAACAAATATCAAACATTTGTACTTACTTTCTTCTGTTCCAGTAGTGCATGACCTAAGACCTTAGATATTCCAGGACAGATTATGCCTGTAGTACACCACCTCGTCACAGGAGCCTTTGCTGGTCCTTTATAATTAACAATTGGTACAGTTTGAGCAGGCACAGTATCCGCGAAAGCTCATGTCAAAGGAAATGACTTGTCTTTGACCTTTAGCTTAACGGAAAGGATGTATGGGTGTTTAGATACGTGTTACTGATGCAGTTGATGTTGTTGGTGTCTACAATGCTGTTAGTGATGCTGTGAGATAATAGTGAAGTGTAGTGATGTGTGTCTAAGATTCGTCTTCGCTTTTGGAAACGTATTAGTCTAAAATAATTATAATAATCGAAACAAGGTTAAAGCCACCAATACTTTTGCTGTGTCAGTCCTTTCCTATTCCTTTGGAGTAGTTGGTGGTTGGCAAAACAAGACACCCAGAGTCTTGACCGCCTGACCAGAAGGATTATGTCTGATAACAGAGCCCACCACCCTCGGTCCTTCTTAATCGTTTATATATGCCAATCAGTTTGGGAGGTCGGGGTTTGATTAATGTGGAGGCTCTTCATGGTACAATTTTATTGTGCACTTTTGCACATATCTATTTATCGGATGATCCTCTGGTGATGCATGCCAAGACTCACGATGAAAGCAAGAAAGCAAGGTTGTTGGACAGAATCTGAAATTTGAGGTTGATTTTGTTGATGGTGATGTACTGCTGGACGGTACAGCGATGGGAGTAAACCAGGTGAAGTCCTTCACCAAGTCTGCCCAGAGTCGGTCATTTGTGGAGAAGCTCTCTGAGCAACCATTGCATCGTGTGTACATACAGAAGAGCAAACCAACCGACTCCTTCGCCTGGATGAAGTCGGCTGGTCTTAAAAGTGAAACAGAGGGCTTTCATTTTGCTGTTCAGGACCAGTTAATTCCCACTCGCAATTGCCTAAATGTGATTCTAAAAGAAAATATTGACATGAAATGTCGATTGTGTAATGAATTTACAGAGACTGTCCAACACCTTGTCAGTGAATGCCCTTCCTTGGCAGAAACAGCATATCTTAAAAGACTTGATGGACAGGCTCGCTGCTTCTACTACTGTCTTCGCCATGCCTTTGGCTTTGACTCCGAGGTCCATCCATGGTACGACCCTGAAAATGTCCAGGGCGTCATGGAAAATGATGCTTTTAAAGTTCGATGGAATAGGCCCATATACAGCCTTAGAAGAATTCCAGCCAACAAACCTGATCTTGTCCTTTTTGATGAATTTATTTATATCACTGTTGACAGCAACGTGATTGGCAAGATTCGGGAAAAGCATGCTAAATATGCGGACCTCGCCTTTGAAATGTCTCGCTTACATCCCAAGGACACTGTCGTCAGAGTCCCCATTGTTCTCTGTGCCCTTGGTTTGATCATATGCATACATGTGTACATCGTCTATGAAAGATGTAAACGTCATCTTCGTATGTAAGCATCATCGACATAAGATGTAAGCATCAACTTCGTTCTTGTAAGCATCATCGACATAAGATGTAAGCATCAAATTTGTTCTTGTGATGTAAGCATCATCGACATAAGATGTAAGCATCAACTTTGTTCTTGTAAACATCATCGACATAAGAGGTAAGCATCAACTTCGTTCTTGTAACATCAACTTCGTTCTTGTAAGCATCATCGACATAAGATGTAAGCATCAACTTCGTTCTTGTAAGCATCATCGACATAAGAGGTAAGCATCAACTTCGTTCTTGTAAGCATCATCGACATAAGATGTAAGCATCAAATTTGTTGATGTAAGCATCATCGACATAAGATGTAAGCATCAACTTTGTTCTTGTAAACATCATCGACATAAGAGGTAAGCATCAACTTCGTTCTTGTAAGCATCATCGACATAAGATGTAAGCATCAACATAAGATGTAAGCATCAACTTTGTTCTTGTAAACATCATCGACATAAGAGGTAAGCATCAACTTCGTTCTTGTAAGCATCATCGACATAAGATGTAAGCATCAACTTTGTTCATGTAAACATCATCTACTCAGATGAAAGTATCTTCTACATTCGTGCAAGCATCATCTACGTTGATGAATGTATCTTCTACCTAGAGATAAACATAATTTGAAATGTGGCACTAATACATTTCCATATTGTCTGATGTTTCAAGTTATTAGATGTTTTCTATACTTTCTCCTCATGCATATGTAACAGATGAGCTCCAAACTTACGTGGATCTGATGGGCCGACACATCCACACTCATTGAAAGCCTTGACTCGGACACACTCCATGAAGCAATGGTCGTAAGAGAAGGGGGAGTAGTACTTGAGAGGATTCACAAAGTTGGGATTGGTTGTGTCTATACATTCCCCACTACCAAATGCCTTGTAGGGGCTGGGCAGGAACATAAACTGCAAAGCCAGGACAAAACTTAGCAGTGTGTCCCTTAAACATACCAAAATAATAATAGGAAACATTCACAAATGGAATCATTAAGTGTCTTTGGAGAAAACGGCATTACTAGACAGAAGTATAAAATGAGTTACAAATAAATCTGATATAAAATGTAAAGGCTGTTTAAAAGACAGTTTGCTTGCTGCACTCAGCAGTATTAAAGTTATAGGGCGACGGTCTGTAAATAATCGCGGGGGTGCACACACTTGAGAAAGTGGGGCGCACACTTCATTTTCCCGAGAGTTTTAATGGACCTTTAACAGACTTTCAGGACAATACGTAGTTTAAAAAACTTTATGGATCCGCCTCAGGAAAATTGCTGAGTACGGCGTTAAACAACAAACAATCAATCAAACCCCTGTTCACCTCAGCTATGTTTCCACGTTTGTCAGCATCGAAACTTGTGGAATTCATCAAAGTGGTAAAAGTCAGATAACACGATTACTTCGGGCTTTTCTCCCACATTAAACAGACACACCGTAATAAGATGGAATACTGTACCAAGCGGCGATGAAATTCCAACCCACTCATTCAGTTACTATTTATTCTTGTATATTCAGATACACCCACCTCCTCTTTTCGCAAGGCAACGTATGTTGAGAATCCGGGTGAGGCCATCACGACGGTGGGGCTAGCGTCTGGGTGTAGTCGAGGATTGTGAAGCAGCACCTGAAAATATATACAGGACCTTATACATATCACCTGTATATTTTACACTGTGGTCTATCCCGTGAAGATCAGGGTTAGAATTGGTCATCAGCAATCAATATTTGTCTTAACTGTCAACTAACAGAACTGGTTGATGCATGTCGTATTCCAAATGCTTAGCTCGATGCTGATGATGTCAATCACTGGATTGTCTGGTTCAGACTCGGTAATCTAAAGACCGCTATCATGTGGTTGGAATATATATTAGTACTGTGTTAAACAAACAAACAACAAACAAAACAGTGATCTACATATACACTTATTTCCTCATACCCCAAAACCATCAAAGACTTAAGTGATTTTCACAGCAACGCTACAACAGTATACATGTATGTATGCATGTCCACCTAAATTAGGTTATGGTTAATGATTTTGGATGGCATGTACTTATGTTGTATATAAAATGTATAAGTTTGTGTCAAGACTTCACTATATTACAGGTTGCCTTCATCCCCCATCTTTTAGAAACAGTGTTTTAAGTCGCGTTATTTTAACCGTAATCAACACGTGAAGGTGTGGGTTAAAATTGATCTTCAGCAACCCATGCCAGTCATGGGAGGCGACCGCCGAGATCGGGTGGCCATTCTCTCTGACTTGGTTGACACATGTCATCGCATCCCAATTGCGTATGTCGGTGCTCGTGATGTTGATCACTGGATTGTCTGGTCCAGACTCGATTATTTACAGAATACCGTCATATAGCTGGAATATTGCTAATTGCGGCGTTAAATAACAAACAAACAAACAAACAAACTGACAAACAAATTAACCGTACTCTGTTTACCTTTATCCCCGCAGCCATGTTAGCCCTGTATGTGTAGTCGTTCTGGTTGATGTTGAAAATGAGGACGAGGTTAGCATCGTCACCTGCCGTCCACGCTTTGACAATTTCAGTGTCATTGAAGTTGAAGGTATGGCACAATCCCTTAGTGGTAAAAACAGGTCTGAACCTGCTCATGCAGTCAAAATCTACACCACCATAGGAACAGGTCACGAACATTTCGTCTCCGTCCATGGAAACATTCCTCCACCATTCTAACGACAATGGTTTGAGAAACAAATCTGAAGTTGGTTCAGAAAATGACAGATTTCTGATCAGTTCTTGAGAAGTATTAAAGAAATACTTTTCCACCTCAGGGTAAACATCAAGACGAGTTTTGTTGAGGGTGCATCTGTTGCAGATGGTGACAGCGGGAAACTCCACGAAGGACGTCATTTTGGTCGTTACCTTGGTGACACTGGGATAACTGTAATATAGCTCCAACTCATCGATAAGGTTGTAGATGAGAAAGGTGGTAGTTGAACAGATAGCAAACAACCACAGGAGCCTGTTGAAGCAAATGATAGTGATTTATATTCACAATGGTGTGTGTATATATCAGGAAACTCTATCTAGGGACTGAGGTGAGTAAGATTAGTTTTACGCCTCTTTCAGCAATATTGCAGCAACATCACGTCGGGGGACACCAGAAATGGGCTTCACACATTGTACCCATGTGGGGATTCGAACACGGGTCTTCGGCGTGACGAGCCAACGCTTTAACCACTAGGCTACCCCACCGCCCCTTATTCAGTACCATAGACACCATAGGCTTCACACATTGTACCCGCGTTGAGAATCGAACCCGGATTTCCGGCGTGACAAGCGAACGATGTAACCACTTGGCTACCCAACCGCCACTCGTACATGAGGACGTGTTACCTGTACCCAGTTAACATTTCGTGAAACCAAATGTTTTGTGGTTCTACTTACAATACGCCTGATTTGTGATGGATGTCGAGATATAACTCGTCTCTCATAAAACAATGTATTCTTAGGTATGCTTGCATATAATTTGGAATGACATTGTCCTACTTGTTTCCATGTGTTTCAAAAACATTTCTGTAATGGAACGCACCAAAAGTTGAAAACTCACCACCATCTGAGATTTCGTTTACTCATGTTTGTTGCATGCATTTAATGCGAATCGCTTCACATTTTATATTCAGTATTCAGTCGGTCAACCCTCACGCCGGACCAAGTCAGTCGATACACATCAGATGTTTATTTACAGGAACGAGCACACCTACCCACGAATGCTAAATGGCTTGACCGAAGGAGCTTTAATCTTGTCCACTGCATGAAGGCCTGTAGAGTGACAAAATTCATCCCACAGATCTTTAAGTCCATACTTTGTTGACTGCTTATCTGTTGTGCCAGTGTCCGCCATCTTTACGTCCACACGCATTGTTGCTGTGTAAAAAATATTTACTGGTCAGGCCACATTCACAGTCAGTGGTCATCACAGTTACACATTTTTAAATTCACATTAAAAACTAATAGTTTACAGTAAATGTCGACATTAACTATTGCAATAGCTGGCATAATTAGTTTCAAAGAAAATACTTCAAGATTATTTCTTTTCCAACACACCTATGCCCATTGGTTAGGACATTTTGAAAAGGTTAAGTTTGAGCCCTTTGTTTGTTGATTCAGTAAACTCTGGTCATATCGAACTTAAAGTGACCACAAGATCTAGTCGTTATAACCGTACTTCGTTATACACGATTTGACAAACATGAAACAGTTGTTTTAAGCGTTTTCGTTACAGTCATAGTCTACGCTATCAGTGATTGAGTGAGTGGGTACGTTTCACGCCACTTTTAGCAATATTCCAGCAATATCACGGCGGGGGACCCCAGAAATGGGCTTCGCACATGAGACATATGGAGAATCGAAACCGCGTCTTCAGCGTCACGAGCGAACGCTTTAACCACTAAGCTACCCCTGATTTATTAGTAAATATACGAAACAACAATTTCCACCTGTCATATCTGCAAGACATCTCTTATTATCAAATTGATTGAACATCGTACGTCCATGTGCCGTAAATATGATTGTTTCCTTTGATTAACGGTCGTTTTACGTTTAAGTATTATTCAAACATTATTATTCAGTAATGATATAGCACCTCTTAATACATCCATATTCAAAATTGATGGGAATCAATTCTTCAGAAAGGTTTTCCTGTCCATATTAACTAACTCAGATTAAAGTTGGGTTTAACTAACTGTTGTTTGAGATAGTATGGTTTTACACCACTTTTAGCAATATTCCAGCAATATCACGTCGGGGGACACCAGAAATGGGCTTCACACATTGTACCCATGTGGGGATTCGAACACGGGTCTTCGGCGTGACGTGCGAACGCTTTAACCACTAGGCTACCCACTGTGGAGTGCATGACCATTAAGCAATGGTACAGTCATTCTTGCATACATAGAGCATTGCATTTGCTTCAGGGGGGCAGCAGGGTAGCCTTGTGGTTAAAGCGTTGGCTCGTCACCCCGAAGACCCGGGTTCGATTCCCCACATGGGTACAATGTGTGTCGACTGTTCAATTCCGAATATATCATGATCATGAATCACTGTAATAATGATGATAACGGGTGTCCCCTCTTTCACCCGTAAACAACAAATGCTAAGGTTAGGCAGTTGTTCACCTGAAGAAAAACGCTGGAACGTAAGGTACAAGCTAAAATAGTGAATTGATTCTGGCATCATTTTTCCTCTGATCTGTGGGATTGATTGTCGTTTGACGCTGACTGATTGCTAATTTGATCTTTTCATGAATATGACGTTGTATTATTTTCCTTCGAAGTTTTCAAAGTGTCACAAGTTTCATGACGGTTACAGTACAAAGGCTTAAGGATAGCTTTGAAAATGTTTATGGTAGACGGATTGAGGACATTTCTAATTTGGCGTTTCTGTGACCAAAATTATGTCAGTTCAAATCCCAAATTTCAATTGCACAATATTGTTTTCGGGTTTGTTCAGGGTAGTTGAGTTGCCACTGCATGTGTTTTGACCGATGCCACCTATGGAGCAGGATATGCTCACTGTGTAACTAAATGTTCGTCAAGGATGTAGGAATGTTGTAAATACACCTGAACAAGTAGATTTGATAGCGGTACATAAGTAGTGGGATTTGTGAGGTGTATTGTTGTTTTTTTATAGCAAACCGTTCCAATTAGGAAGATAGGAACATATTTTACTGGAATAAGTAGTTGCCTGCACATATGTCCGGAAAATATGTGTTTTGAAAATGCATTGAAACCTTCAGTTGCTCCTTTGCAGCATCGTTGTTCGTGTTTTCAAGCATTGTCTAAAACATTATCATGTAGCCAACAAAAGAAAACAGGCTCCCCGAGGATGCGGGGTTCAGGAGATGGTGAAACAGTTTCACTGTCCTTTTGTGTTTTACCAAAATTCTTGTTTTTATTCTGTGATACAATTTTCACAGTAATATATTAACATGAACAACATAAATAGGGACGACTTCTTTGAATGATTTTTAGCGCGTCAGTGACTGGGTCGGTCTGTGTGAACGATACATGATGACTGACCTGGTAGCTTATCCCGACATCCTATGTGACCTTCGCTGACATTCTATATGCACTTCGCTGACTTCATTATCTCAGGTTCTTCATTTTTTATCCTTGCATCGGGCCGTTGACATGCCAGCAGCTTCCATTCCAGGTGTGTGATTAGTTCCGTTCAGACCCGCGCTGTGTCGCTGGTTACTCGAGAACGTTCACCCAAAAGCTTTTAAGCACTGACAACACAAGACGTTGTAAAACCGGTTATGGATTAATCAGTTTCTGTTTTTCTACGTGACATGCGTGTCATTAGCGAGATTGCCTCTGCCCTGATTGCAGGTAAACAAGATTTGCATAAATGTATTGCCTGGTGACAAGAACAGATGATGATCCAACAGTTCACCGTTTCTCTGTACACATTATTGTTTAAAACATGTTTGTAGTTAGCTGGGAGTCTACCGCGACATTATTTACTTTTATCTGTGTCTATATGCGTCTAACGTTGATCTTTATCCTTCCGTTCAATTTACAGTGTCACCATGGAGATGTGGTCTAGTCTGGGTGGCCATGTTTATTAGCTGCATTGGTGAGACCTAAAAACGGTTAGGTACTAGTTTCCATGTTCGACATTCCTTTAAATGTGCTAACTACCAAATACTTCACATTGATGAACTTAAATATTACAGGGAACATTTTCTGCACAAATACGTTTATTGAAGAGGCGACAAAATGGATCGGTGGTCAAGTTTATTGATTTGGTTGTCATTTAACCTCGATTGCGTCGATCGTTGTTCATTCATGGCTGGATTGTCTGGTTCACATTCGATTATTTTACCCGTCGCGGTCATTTAGTTAAGATATTGCTGAGACCGGTGTTAAACTCAAACAAAATCATAATTACTGTATTAAAAAGTGAAAATAAACTCATGAAGGTATACTAACGGAAAACGGCAACTGTGCCTAACATAAAATTGCATAAATTCAATTTATTTGAAAAGTTAAAATGACACTAAATAAACAAAGTGCTTTGCATGAAATTTGATGTCACGAATCGCGCTTGGACATGCACTTCGTGTACAATGAAAGTTCTCACTTTTTTGCATGCTTTTGACACCTGAAGTTCACACACCTGATATTGAAAATTGAAGAACGGTTGATTATTCTCTGGCCTCTGGCCTTAATTTTAACCTGAACTGCGCGTAGGTCATGCCACGGGTTACGGAAAATCAGCGTCTCCTCGCCGTGGGTATGCTGGAGACTAGAATGGTCCAAAATGAGGTGGCCAGACATTTTGGTGTCCATCGAAACACCATCTCATCTCAATGGAGACGTGTTCAACATAATGGGAACACGAGAGATCTGCCTCATGTTAGCAAGACGACTACATTCGACCCAACATCCGGCACTGACGGCCTGCAATAAATCCATTTTTGGTTCAACGTCACCGACAGGCACGTCTTGCCTTGTGCAGACAGCATCTACGGTACAGGAGACAAGATTGGGATGGTGCTTTGTACACCGACGAGTCGAGATTTCATCTGGACAGTTCAGATGGCAGGGCTTGCAAGGATGTACAGACGGCGAGGTGAACAGTATGCTGACGGGTGCGTTGGTCAACGTTGACAGTTTGGTGGAGACAGCGTTATGGTATGAGGAGCCATCACATCTCATGGTGAGATCTCACATCACACAACTTGTCATTATCAATGAAATCTGACAGGTCTGCGGTACAGGGATGAGATCATTGGGTCTCGTGTGCAGCCGTTCATTCAAGGAGAGGGACGTAATTTCACACTTCAGCAAGATAATGCCTCTGGTGGTGTGACAGATTTCCTGAGACAGCAGAACATTCCGGTA